GAGCCAGCCCCAGGCAGTGGGGAGCCAGCCCTGGGCACGGGGATCCAGCCCCAAGGTGTGGGGAGCCAGCCCCGGGCAGTGGGAAACCAACTCTGAGCAGTGGGGATCCAGCCCCAAGGTGTGGGAAGCCAGTCCTGGGCATGGGGCTGCAGTGGGGAGCCTGCCCTGGGGACAGGGTGCAGCCCCGAGGTGTGGGGAGCCTGCCCTGGGGACAGGGTGCAGCCCCGAGGTGTGGGGAGCCAGCCTCGGCAGTGGGGAGCCCCTGTATTCGCCCCCCCGGGCAGGGAGCCCAGCGCAGCCCCCACACCCAGCTCCCTTCTCCCACACATCGCAGTGCTGGTGGGTGTCTGGGGGCTCTTGTACCACCAACAATCTCGGGGAGGCGGACAGCCCTGCAGCTCTGCAGGGAGCTTTCTGAGGGGGAGCAGAGGGAGCAGAGGACTCGCTTGGAGCTGGGAGCGGGCGGCGAGGGCAGGTGCCCTCTGAGGAAGCAGGGTCAGACAAGCAGGACCTGTCTGGTCACCCCTTTGTCCTGGTCCAGGCAGTTCAGCAACCCTCCCCAGTGCTCCAGCTCTTCTTCCAGCCCAGCTCCTGGGAATGCCAGAAGAGCCAGGAAGGAGCTGGGGTCGGCCACAACTCCTGGCACCAGGCCCACCAGAGCCCTGGAGTCCCAGAGTGCGGCACGCCGGGCTCTGCTGGCCCCAGCTCCTCTGCCCTTGCCCTGCCTGCTGCCTTGGGAGCAGGACACAGCAGTGTGGGCAGCAGCAGGGAACTGCCAGCCCTGGGAGAGACCTCAGGAAGATTGCTTAGAAACTGCAGGAGAGCGGGGACTGCTTGTCACAGCCCAAATGACTGTCACAGCTTAATAATCAGTGGGCAGAGAGGGTGGCAGCACAACCTGACGCTGCCTAATTTTGCAACCGCTGTTGTAGCAGTAGGTGCAAAGCACCGAAATGGGACACAAGAACTTCGGGTTGCACAGGAGGGGACCGGGAGAGAGGCTGAGCTGAGGGTGGGAGGGGGTGAGAGAGGTGGGGCTGGCCGGTATCCATCACATGGCCCTTGGCTCCCCTCTTGGGGCACGGGAAGCGGGCAGGGACCGAGGGGCTCAGGGGGACCAGGGAGGCAGTGCCTGGAGCAGGGGTGCTGCCCTGCAGGTCGTGGGGGATGAAGGATGCTGTGCCAGCCCTGCTCACCACGGTGCCCTTGGCTCCCGTCTGCGGGCATGGGAGGTGAGCAGTGCCCAGACCATCGGGTGCTGCTCTGCTCCCTGCCCACCTCTCCCACCTGGTGCTGCTCAGAGGGAGAATTAATCACACTTCTGGATTGTCAAAGGAATCCCTGGAGCCGCAGGAAGGGCCCAAGGGGGATTGTGAGGCCAGGCCCTGGCCAGAGCTGGTTCATCTCTGTCCTCAGGTCACAGTTCCCCACCAGCCTGGAGATGTCCAGCAGATCTCCCTCAGGTTCCTGTCTCCCTGGGGAGACCTGCATCCGGCTGCTGGGGGCAGGGAAGAGGGGCATTTGGCACTGCATGGCCCAAAACTCATCTTGGGTGTAAATCTTGAGCAAAACTTGGACACTCCCTGGGCTGCTGGGACCTCAGTGCCTGGGGCATTCCTGAGCAGTTGCACACAGTCTTCCATGCAGAGGTGGCAGCAGGTCCAGGCTGGAGCTTATCTGCCGAGGGGAGGGAGCTGAGGCTCCATAAGGAGCAGCCCTGTGGTGGTGTGGGATGTTCCTGAATGAAGCCTGCGCTTGGGGTAGCATTCTTGGTTCTGCTGCAGCCCTGGCTGCCAGGAGCCTCTATCCTCTGGGAGAAGCCAGCTCAGCCTTACAAAGCCCTGGGGCACTGGGAAAATGGTCCCCAAAGAGCCTTTGCTCCAGGCTTTGAAAGGAGCTGAAGTGAGAGGAAGCTCTGGGAGCTCTGGCAGCTCCCAGGGCAGAGCCAGTGGGTTCAGAAGGGTTCTGTTAGCTGGAAGGACTGGGGGAGCTGGCAGGCAGCAGCTCAGCCAGGCCAGGGGCAGCCACAGGCTGCAGGTGCTGTTGGTTTCCCCACTAAAGTCTTTTCCCATGTGGTTGCTCCATGTAGGAACAGCCACGCTCTGCTGGGAGGACAAACCCCCACGTGCTGTGTCCCCCCAGGTCACCCACCACTCTCAGACGGTGCTCCAGCCACAGCTGCTGGATATTTTGGTTCTGTGGCCCTGTCCAGCTCGGGGAGTCCAGCCTGTCCTGGCCATAGCATCCCTCTCCAGGTGCTGGAGTAGAGGCATGTGCATTCCTGGGTGACCCGCCTGAGGGCGGGTGGATGTGGGATGGGCCGTGCAGAGCCACGGTCCCTCCACCATCCTTCCCTGGGGAAGGAAGAGGGGCCGGGGCCAGGACAATGGGCTGTGGCGCTGACTCAAACAGCCAGTTCCTGGTCGCTTCCTCTCCCCGCTGGAGCTGGAGGCAGCGAGGACGGGGAAGCTCAGCGCTCTCGGTGCGGTTTGAGGCAGCAGCTCCTGGGTGGCCGGAGCGAGCGGCTTCCCCCAGCACCCAGAGCCATGGCCAAGGTGGAGTGGCTCCTGGCACCCTGGCACCGGGCAGGTAAGGCAGGCGGCAGGGCAGGGCTGAGGCGGGCACTGGGGGCGGTGGGATCTGCAGGCACTGCTCGCTCTGCAGGGCAGGACCCTGGCCTGGGGGCAGCTCTTGGGCACAGACCCTCTGGAGGCCATGCAATAGCCCCGGGGCCAGCGCTGTCCAGCAGCACCAGTCTTGTGCCACCTTTCCCAGACTGACCCGAGCTGTGGTGTGTCCCCGTCCCTTTTAAATCCTCCCGCCGTTGCCCAGCCTAGTGGGGTGTCTTGCTGTGACAAAGCAGAGAAAGACAGCGGCTCCCAGCCCACGTGTGCCACTGAGCACTCAGCAGTCCTGCAGGGACAGATCCTGCCTGTCCCGGAGGTGCTGTGCCCTCCTGGCAGCTTCCACGTGCTGGTGGCAGCAGGAGGGAGGATGGTGGGACTGTGGGCCGTGGGTCGACACAAACATCACAGACACGCGGGACCCTCGCTGCTCTCGCTGCTCTCGCTGCTCTCGCTCCTGCTGTAGCTGATTTCAGGTCTCAGGCCCCTTTGTCCCAGGGCCTCTGGCCGCATTCCCCTCTCAGGCGACTTCCTCGCATTGTCCCGGCCCCGCGGAGTGTAAAACCAGCCGGGCACAGGGGAAGCTGCGCTTTCCTGGAAGGACCCCTCTGGAAGCAGCCTCTGGCACAGGCAGCCCACTCTGGGCAGAGTGGTGAGCACTGCCTGGGCTTCCATGTGCTCCACAACAGTCCCAGCCGGGCTGGGGACGTCGGGAAGGCCGGTGGGCAGCCAGCCATGGCCACCCTGTGCCCAGGGGTTTCTTTGCCCGTTTCTTTGGCCATGACGTGGTGATGTTGGGCTGCCAGGACCGGCTGGGTCTGACAGGTTGCCATGCCAGGCTCCCTGAGGCTCTCGGGAAATATTTGTGCCTGGAGTTTTGCTGGGAAGCACAGGAGAGTGAGGGTTGCAGTATGAGGAGGCTGCCAGGGAGCCCCGGCAGGGCTGGGAGGGGGCTCTGGGCACTGGTACTACTGCCCATGGTGGAGGGCTTGATGCAGGAATCTGGCTCCAGCCAGACCCCAGTGCCTGCCCCAGTGCTGCTTCTCTGGCCCCAGGAGCAGAGGATCTCAGCCCCCTGTCAGGGAGCAGCCTGAGTCCACCTTGGCTGGTGTGGTCCCGGGCCGGACCCTGCTGCCAGCCCAGCTGTGGGTGGTTCCCATCCCCGCAGCACGGGGGAATGGCACACGGGGCTCCTCCTGGGCCAGCCTCGCTGGCCAAATCTGCAGCACACACAGGTCCCCTCCTGCCAAAACCCCCTGCCCGGGGCCCACGGTGCTGCTGGGACCGAATGTCCCTGCCCGCTGCAGCTCCGAGTCCTGCCCATGGACAGGGACGTTACCGAGTGCTTTGCTGCCGGTGGTTTTCACAGAAACCTCACACAGTCCCACCTTCCCCCCGTGAGCTGGGGGACCCCCAGAGCTGCCAAATCCTCCCTGCAGCCAGCAGCTTCTGCCGTGCCCTTGTCTCCCATGGGTACAAAAATCAGCTGGTTCCTTGCTAAGCAGGGAGCTCGGAAGAGCTGAGAACCTCTGGCAGAGGCGGTGTGTGGAGGCAGTGCTGTTTCACAGTGCCCGTGGTCCTGCTGGGCACCTGTGTGGGAGCACGGGGACGTGCTGTACCAGGGACCCTGCATGGCCCAGCTGGGTCTGGGCACGGCACCCCCGAAAGGCTTCCAGCCCCTCTGGCCTCAAGCACCCGCAGGTCAGACACCTGTGCAGGTGGCCCTGCCTCACTGGGATTGGAGCTGTGCCACCAGACATGTGGCAGTGGAGGTGTCCTGGAGAGGCTCAGATCTGGACTGGGCTCAGTCTCTTGGCTTTCCCGGTGAGGGCTCATCCCAGGCACAGCGTGTGCAAGTGGCGCCCGGGGCACTTTGCTCGGTGAGCACCGCGGGCCTGGGGGTGTCAGCAGGGTGTCGCTTCGGGATTTCACTCAGACCTGGCCGGGTGTCCGGCCCTGGGGCTGACGTGCGCACGGACGCGGCTCCGCATCCCGCCGGGAGCTGGGCCGGCAGCTCCGCTTCGGCAGGGGGTGAGCTTGGGACAGGAGGTGTTTGTGCGGCCGCTGCCAGCTCTCTCTGTGCGCTCTTTTCACTTCCTCTCCGCTCGCCGTGGAGCGGCGTGCGCCTGGCTCAGGGCACGGCAATGTCCCCGAGCGCTCCGGGGTCGAGGGCAGGCCGTGGCACACGGTCCCGGCACCGCGCCCGTGCTGCTCCGGTGGTGCTGCCGGGGTCGGTGTCGGCCCCCAGGTTTGCTGCCCTCGCCCTCCGGCGTGCTCGGTGCTCCGGAGCGGCGGCGGCAGCTGCGGCTGTGCCTGTACCGGTTGCCATGGCTGCTGTGCCGATGGCGCATCGCCCGCTGCCGCCGTTACATCATTGCTGCCCGAGCTCCACGCTGCCACTGAGGCTCCGAGCGGCTCCGGACGCGCCCCCGGCATCTCCCGCGCGTGGGGAGCGAGCCTGAGAGGGAAAAGTTTGGCGGTGAATTCAAGCGAGAGGCATCGACTCACGGCAGCTTCGGCCGGGATTGAAACAGCTCTGATGGCTCTGTCAAATCTCTCCCTGTGGATTCGGGATGCCTGGGCTGTGGGTGAGTAGGGATACTGGCGTGGAGCAGGGTGACTCAGGGGATGCTGAGGGGCTGGGGGTCCTGCAGGGATGTCGTTCCCGCAGCCGAGAGTGGAGCTCAGCTCCCCTTCAAGCGAACTTCCCTGGAATTCAGCCTCAGTCCTTTTGTACCCACCATGGCCACAACAGCCCGAGCCTGGACGCTGGCTCACGCTCCGAGGCTGCAGCATCCGCTGCAGCTTGTGGTGCAGGCTCTGGGAACGTCCCAGGCAGATGTCCATCGGCAGGCAGAGAAGGGGACACCGCCTGCTCCTCTCCGCACGCCCTGGGTTCAGGAGGGGGCCTGGTGCCAGCAGGGAGCATGGTGAACCCACCAGCCGTGCCTCAGTTTCCCTCAGCAGCAAGGCTGGCCAGGCTCAGGTCGAGAGCGCTGGGGTTGGTGGGATGGAGCTGTCCCTGCGGCTCTGCTGTCCCGGGATGCCGATGCCCTTCATCTCCCGCAGGCATTTGGCACGGGGTGGGAGCCCCTCAGAGGCATTTTGTGCTCTGAGCCGGTCTCTGATAAGCGTGGCAGGAGGGTCACTGCCAAGGGCATTGGCTCAGCTCGGCTGTGCTGTCCCGCCAGCCGCTGTGCCCTCCTGCCGGACACCCCCGCTTGCCTGGGGCAGCCCGTGCCCACAGACGGGGGTGGCAGCTGGGCTTCCTTGGGCACTTAAAACCTGCCCTCGTACTGAGCCTGCATCGGGCTGCTCTCAAACACCGCCCGTCCCTCGGGAGCGCTGTGGCCGTGGCGCTGAATCAGCACTGCCGGCTCCTCACAGCCCATCGCTGCTGGGCTGGGAGTGCCATCCCAAAACAGCCTCGGAACCACTGCTCCCAAAACAGCCTCGGAACCACTGCTCCCAAAACAGCCTCGGAACCACTGCTCCCAAAACAGCCTCGGAACCTCTGCTCCCAAAACAGCCTCGGAACCTCTGCTCCCAAAACAGCCTCGGAACCTCTGCTCCCAAAACAGCCCCGGAGCCAAATCCTCGGGGCGCTGCTCACTCTGGAGCAGAGCTGTCCTTGCGGTGCATGTTTGGGGCATAGGGGTGCCAGGAGAGCGCTCGGCTCTTCCCTTCTTGCCCCCAGCCCTTCTCGCCAGCTGGGGAACCGGAACCCTCGATGCCCGTGCCTTGGTGCTGCCAGCACCCTGGCGATGCCCGCAGCTCAGCAGTGCCCGCAGCTCAGCAGTGCCCGCAGCTCAGCCCACACTGGCTCAGGACCGCGCCGTGTCACTCCGAGTCCCAAACGGGCACGTGGCAGCACAGAGGGGGAAGCTCCACGGGCACTGCCCCGGCACGGCGTGTTCCCGTTGCGGCCGGAGCTGTGCCCGCGGCAGGGCAGGGTGCTGGGTGCTGGGTGCTGGGTGCTGGGCGCTGGGCGCTGGGCGTGGGTGCTGCCGCGTTTCCGCCGCGCCCAGCCTTTGGTGCTGTGGTTTGCGCACGGGGTCGGTGCCCGGGTGGGTGCCGGGGGTGGCTCGGCAGCAGGGCCGAGGTGCAGAGGTGAGCTCCCGCATTCCGGGGAGGGCGGCAGGGGCTGCAGGTGCTGCTCAGGGTGTCCCTGAGCCCTTGCTGGGGCGTGGCTGCAGGGGGATACATGGGCGGAAGGTGAGGAGCGTCTTGTGCTGAGGCCAAAGGCTGGGGCTGGGTGAGCCAGGCAGGACGTGCGGCAAGCCAGGATTTGGGGTGTTCTCAGAAATGACAGGGCAGCACTGGATCCCCCAGCACGCCAAAACCTGCAGGCTGTGGGGTCTGGGCTCCGCAGAGGTGAAGGTGTGGTCTCTGCCCCTGGCACTGTGGGTCAGGGTTTTAGGGAGATGCCCAGCCTTGCCCTGTGCGTGGCACACACAGGCACACATGCGCCCCAACACCTCCTGGTTGGTATGGAAACAAGTCAAATTATTTAGAGGAGGAAGAAGGAAAAAAAAAAGGAAAAAACCCGGTGTTAAGGCCCGTCGTTATGGAAACAAATGATAAAAGTAACTAGGCTGGGGACATGGCACCTTGCTTTGGGGTGCTGGGCGTTGTGCAGGCTCCATCAGCTGGGGGAAGGGTGGCCATGAGGGCACCCAGGGGCACAGGAGTGTTGTAGGCAGGAGGGCATCTGGGGGCAGGAGGGCATCTGGGGGCAGGACGGCACCGTGAGCAGCAGGGGGGATGCTCGTGGTGCACATGAGCTGGGCCACAGCTGCCTGACCACCAGGGGCAGAGGGAAATGTGGCTTCTGCTGGGGGTCCCACACCTGTTTGGGGGCCATTCCCCTTCCCAGGTACATTGGATTGCTTGCGCTGCCTCAGCCTGGCACGGCAGGGCAGAGGTGTGTTCCTGGGGCCAGTTCTGCAGGTGGCAGAGGGGAAGTGTCTGTCACACACTGGTAACCGTGTCTCAGCTGATGGGGGTGGGGACAAGGACCATGCAGCAGAGGATGAGCCCTAAATCCCCAGGGATGGGATCCTGGTCATTCATATCCCCGTGTGAAGCTCACACAGACCCGCTCTGTGCCTGCCAGGGCGCTGATGCCAGTGGTGGCACTCCCTTGGATCCAGGCTGGGTACAAACCCATGTGCACCCAGAGCCATGCAGTGTTCCCATGGCAAAGCCTTGTTGTGGGAGCAGCACTCAGCTCCCCACGGGGCCATTCAGTGCTGAGCCCAGATCCTGCTCCCAGGGACTTTTCCACCCATTGGGGTGTTTCAGAGGGTCTGAGCAGTCCCCACAGAGGTTTCCTTCCCTGGAGAGCTTCGGGGGTGTCCAGGCCAGGACAGGCTGTGTGAGCCCTGAGCTGCAGTGCAGTGGAAGATTTGGGTCCCTGGCTCCTGCCTTTGGGTTGCAGCTGCTGCTCCTCCACGCCCAGGGTGTTGCTCCAGCAGCGCGTGCAGCGTTTCCTGCACCCGGGCGCGGTTAGGCACGGGTGGCAGGGCTGGCTTCCTTCCCCAATTTCAGCCGGCTCCCTTCTTGGCAGCCCTCAGGGTCGGTGTCCAGTGGTCCCAGTGGGCAGCAGCCTGCCAGGGTGGGACGCAGCCACGTCCCGGCATTCCTGGAGAGCTGGGGTGGGATGAGCACTGTGCTTCTCCCACAGCAGCACCTGCAGGGAAGCCGCCCCCCACCTGCCTCTGACCCCGCTCTCTCCCACCCGCAGCCACCTCTAACCTGGACCTCGAGAGCAAGAAAGCCGCCCCCGCCAAGCTGCCATGGCAGCAGCCCGTGAACGTGTTCCTGGCAGCTGGGCGCCCACCGGGCATGGAGCAGCTGCACCAGGAGGCCCAGCTCAACCTCCAGAGCTTGCTGCAAGGTACTGAGGAGAGGGGCTGGGGTGGGCTGGGTGAGGGGCGGGTGGTGGTGCTGCCTGGGCTATGTGGCCACCATGGGACTGTGAGCTCGTCTCCCACACGCATGTCTGAGCCACTCCTTGGACCTCAGCAGGCTGCAGGAGTTGGGTCCTGGCGGTCCCAGTGTCCAGCAGCCCCTCACTGATCTCTGCTCCCAAGTCACTGCTGCAGGTGCCAAAGCAACTGGGACCAGGATTGCCTGCTGGGCCACTGAGGCCAGCGGGGCCACCAGGGCACCCACAAGCTCCACCACAGCACAGTTCTCATGAGGGCCTCAGGGACCTGCCACTGATCTGCCTAAGTGGATCAACGTGGCCAGTGGTTTTGTTTCCTTCCAATCTCTGGCCCAGGCTGTCACGCGGCCCGGGCTCAGATGCTCCTCAGGCATCAGATGAGATCAGCAGCTCAGCCATCCCCCAGCTTGTAATCTCATTAAGTCAGCCTGAGCAGCCCTGCTTTCCGCCAGCCCGCAGCCACCAGCATTAATTAGCAACAATTACAGGATGGGGACACACTGAGTTCCTGGCTGTCCCCAGTGGGGCTGTTTCCCAGAGAGACCCAGCGCGTCCCCTGGCTGTGCCCCGGGAGGAGTGGGGCCAGCTGCTGGGATCATTGCGCTTCTTCAGTTCCCCCAGACCCTTCTTGGGGTCTCCCTCGCCTTCTGAGCTGCCTGTCCTGAGCAGGGACAGCCAGCTAGGCTGGGGACAGCCAGAGGGGACAGTCACCATCCCTTCACGTGCCCCCTGCTCCAGGATCTGGCAGCAGGAGCAGGGTCCCAGGTGCTGTTTTTCTTGCAGAGGAGTATGAGGAGCAGTACAGCGAGAGCAGGGTCACCGGGCAGACTTTCCGTGCTGCTGGTCACCTGCCCCCCGACACCTCCCCTGAACCGTCACCCCGACCCCCACCTGCCAAGCGCCTTGAGTTCGTGCTTATGGTGAGTTCTGGGGTGGCAGGGTGGGCAGCGAGTCCCTGCTTGTGTTCCACTGTTCCACCCTTGTCCCTTTGGTGGCTGATGTGCCTTTCTCCCCGTAGCCCCCGAGCCAGCGAGCGGCCGAAGAGGAGAGCACCAGCAGCGCTGTGCTCGGTGCTCGGCCTCCTGACACCTCCCTGAGCCTCCCCACCAGCCCGGACAAGCAGCCCCCCTGGCCCAGGGCCTTCCCCCTGCCCCCCGTGGAGGAGAAGCAGTGGCAGCAGCCCGGCTCCATCCAGACCAACATTGTCCCCATCAATGTCTCGGGTAGGGCAGCAGCCCAGGGCGTGGCGGGGGACACGGGGCGCAGGCAGAGATGCGCCCCAGCAGCCATCTGGGCCAGGAGCCGGGTGGTGGGAGGGGGCTGTGTTCCTGGGGTTAGGTGGGCACCGGGGCAGAGAGGGGACAGCAGGGCCATGCTGGTGTCCATCACTCCCAGCCATCTCTCGTGCCATCTGCAGCTTTGTGCGTCTGCTCCGCTGGCCGTGCTGCTGGCAGGTCTCACACCCCTGATGTAATGCCCAGCCAGCCAGGTCTGTTGTCACCTGGGCTCTCAGCACAGGCCGTGCACCCAGCCTGTCTCCCCTGCCTGTCCATCCTCTCGGGGCCACATCTCCCCACAGCACAGTCCTGTCCTTGCAGACACAGGTGTCCTGCTGTGGCCCAGGTCGGTGGCTGGGGCTGGTGGCTGGGTGAGGTGCTCCTTCTGAAGGGCAGAGGTTTCTCTCTACCCTTTCCCATCATGGAGAGCTGTGCCAGGGCCACACTGGTCTCTCTCCCTCTCCATGGCTCACGTAGCCCTCCCCAGTCTGGCTCAGCACAGTGGTGTGGGGTCTGGACTCACCAGCACAGACCTGTGCCTGTCACACAGCTCAGGGCTGCTCTCTGTAGCTTTCCATCCATCCCACCTCCCTCTGCCGCATTCCCACCGTGCCTCCATCTCCCCTGTGCTCACCCCACATGGCTCACACCATCCTCCTGCACCCCACGCTCCCACCTGTGTCACCATCCCAGGCTGGGGACACGCAGAGAACACGGGTGATGGAGCAGGGCTCCGGCAGAGCTGTTTGTTTTGGCTACAGGGCAGCACTTTGCTAGGCACGCAAGTGCTCGTCACTCCCTGTTTAACACAGAGACCGCGATGAACCCCAAGTCCACCCTGCGGCGTAGACGGACCATTATTGGATTCCCTAACCCGTCCCTGCGAGACCAAGGTGACGGCAAGAACTGCGCAGGCAGCACCCGGGCAGGGCTGGCAGCCCCAGAGCTGCCCTGATGGTGGCACAGCCATCGCGGGGCTGGCAGCCAGCCTGGCACAGAGGGGCTCCCGGGGACACCCCGGCCGCGGGGAGGTGCAGGCGCCGCACTGACTCTGTGCCCTCCCAAGGCACAGTGCTGGGCACACTGGTGACACTGGGCTGGCCTGGGGCTGGCATGGCATCAGGGACAGCTCCTTTGTCCTGAATCGGGGTTCTGAGACAGAGTCACCCAGACCCTGTGGTAGGGTGCCGTGGCTGTGGGGCACACACCTGGCCAGCTCTTTGCTGGGGCTGGCAAGCTGGCCACGCCAGTGCCAAGGGTGTGCATGTGAGAGTGCCTGGAGTGCTTCCAGGCTGGATTGGACCCTTGGGAACAGCAGCCACTGTGGCTCAGGGGCTCCATCCTGCTGTCCCCTATGGAAGCTGTAGAGAAATCAGAGCCAGCCTGTCTGTGAAGGCAGGTAGGGACAGGAGGAGAAGCCACGGCACCAGCTGCTCCAGAGCAGTTTTCATGGGGTAGGAGGAAGGTTTCTTCCCATGACAGTGGTCAGACCATCAACTGGTTATCACTGCTCCTCCCCTGGAGTCAGTCAGACCTTAGCCCACCACAGCCTTGAGCATCCCTGTCTGCTGGGGGTGTTCAGAGCACGGCTGCTGGCTCCTTCCCCATCCTGGCTGTGCTGTGATGAGGTGGCACTGTGAGCCACCATGTCCCTCCCTGTCTCAGCTAGCAATGCCTGACCTGGCTCCTCCTGAACCCCATCCTTGTCCCAACCATGGGGACCAGGGCAACACTTTGGTTGCCATGGGACTGATGTCTCCTCATGGGTAGAACCTCCTGCCACGGCCGCTGGTTTGTCCGTGGCACATTCCAGTCAACAGATCTGTATTTTATGCCTGGGCAGAGGTGCAGCCTCGAGAGTGGCCACGGGCTGGGACAGAGTGCGGGGCAGGGCCGTGTCCCCGTGAGTGAGGCAGGATGGGGCTCACCAGGCTCTCTCCCTGCAGGCAGCGCCAACGGCCCCACATCCAGCACACACGCGCCCATCGCCGAGTCCCTGTCCTGCAGCTTCGTGCCTGAGACCACGAGCGGGGGGACGCCCCAGGAGATCAGCCCGCGTCCGCCCCTCTCGGCCCCGCTGAGGAAGACCTTCAGTGACCTCGGGGCCCGCTGCTGCCAGCCGCCTGCTGCCATGGATGGGGCAGCCAACCCCTGTGCCAGTGCCTGCAATGGGACACAGGGCACCCCTTTCTCCCCGCCCTGGAGCCCCCTGGGTTATGGGAGCCCCTCCAGCCTCACCACTGGCCCGGGCAAGGGGCCCACCTGCGCCTCGCCGGGCGGCTCCGTCCCATCGCCCGGCCCAGGTTCCCCCGCCGCCTCCACCTCCTTCTTCATCGCCACAGAAGAGCGCGTGGGCAGCAATGGGCCCAGCTTCTTCTCTGGCCCAGTGCCCGCTTCCCCCGTCGGCTCCGGCTGCATCCAGGGAGCCAAGGGGAATTTCTTGCCGGGAAGCCGAGAGGAGCCGGAGCCGGCGGCAGGGCCGGTGCAGCTGGAGGTGGAGCGGGCAGGGTGCCGCTTCCGTGAGCGCTCACTGTCGGTGCCCACCGACTCGGGGTCCCTCTGCTCCGTGGACATCGCGTACGCCGAGACCCGGCGGGGCAGCGCCAACTATGCCCTGGGCTACCCCAGCGCCAGCTCCGAGGGCAGCACCAGCACCGACAACATCTCCCTGGGGCTGGAGCCCGAGGGGCAGCGGCGGCGGCGCTCCAAGAGCATCTCCCTGAAGAAGGCCAAGAAGAAGCCCTCGCCACCCACACGCAGCGTCTCGCTGATCAAAGAGGGGCAGGACGGTGACGTGGGGCTGAGCGCGGCGCTGCCCAAGGACCAGCGGCCCAAGAGCCTGTGCATCCCACCGGAGCTCCAGGGCCACCGGCTGGTGCACGCCGACCCCCAGGGGAGTGCGGGCAGGGAGCCCAACAGCACAGCCACCCCTCACCAGTGGCATCTCACGGACTGGAGGGCTGGCAGCGATCCCTACCGGTCCCTCTCTGGCTCAAGCACGACCACAGGGACCACGGCCGTTGAGTGTGCCAAGACACGGGGCAGCTCTGAGTCCCTTGTGTCCCCCTCAGTCTCCAGGGCCACGACGCCCTCCCAGCTCTCTGCCGAGGCAGACCTCAAGACCTCCTCGCCCGGCAGGCCCACAGGGCTGATGTCCCCATCCAGTGGGTACTCCAGTCAGTCGGAGACCCCAACCCCCACAGTACCCACCTCCACCATCCTCGGGCATTCCCCACACCAGGTGCGTGTGAGGCCGCTGGTCCCCGAGAGGAAATCCTCTCTGCCCCCCACGTCCCCCATGGAGAGGAGCCCCAAGGGCAGGCTGTCCTTCGACCTCCCACTGACTCCACCCGCCCACCTCGACCTCTCAGGGCTGAAGATCTCCCTGAAGGGGAAGACGAAGGTCAGCCGGCACCACTCTGACTCCACCTTTGGCACCAAGCTGGCCCAGAAGACCAGTCCCATCGCACCCATCATGCCCGTGGTGACACAGTCCGACCTGCGCTCCGTCCGCCTCCGCTCCATCAGCCGCTCGGAGCCAGAGGACAACGCCGATGGCCCGGAGCACACGGAGGAGCCAGCACGTGTCCCCTGCCCGGGGCCGGAGAGGAAAGTGAAGCCACCCGTGGCAGAGAAGCCACCACTGGCCAGGCGCCCCCCGTGCATCCTGCCCAAGCCCCCAGTTCTGCGGGAGGAGGGTCCCTTGTCCCCCAAATCCCCGCCAGGCACTGCTGCCAAGGAGAAGGGGCTGGCACAGGAGGCCGTTGTGGTGCTGCGGAGAGGGGAGCTGAGGAGGGGTCTGGGGGAGCCCCACTTGTCCCTGACCCCGGCGGGGCCCCGGCGGCTCTCGCAGGGCAGCCTGGACGAGCTGCGGCCAGAGCGGAGCGGTGCCGAGGGGGAGCGCAGGAAAGCCAAGGTGCCGCCGCCAGTGCCCAAAAAACCCAGCGTGCTGTACCTGCCGCTCATGCCAGCCCCAGCACAGCTGGCAGCTGGTGTGGGGGACCTGCCACCCACCCCCAGCCCCATCATCACGCTGGACACCGAGCCCGCCTGCTGCGACCCTGACGCCGAGGATCTGCCGTCCCCCAAGGCTGTGGGCAGCGCGCCTGCCAGCGAGCCTGCCTCAGAGCAAGGTGAGGGTCTCCCCACCCCTGTGGTGGGATCACCCCAGGGATAGGGACTCCCCATGCTGCACAGGGGGTTCACTGCTGTCTCCTCCCTGCCCACAGGCAGCTCAGCAGAAGCCAGCACGGAGGAGAAGAGCTTTGCCAGTGACAAGACGGCCGAGTCCATCGTGGAGGAGGACGATGAGGTGTTCACAACGTCCCGCACCACAGAGGATCTCTTCACGGTGATCCACAGGTAAGGCTGGTGCATGTACTGGAGGGGACAGCCCCTGTGCCCACTGAGTCCCACCACTGCCACAGCCCTGGGTGTAGTGTCCCCCCACCACGACACCCCCATTTTCCATACTGGGACCAGCGTTCATCCTTGGGGACAGCCTGGTTGCTGCTGCCTTGAGCGGAGTGCAACCAGCGGGGAAGCTCCAGATCAGTCCTTGCTGCCAGGAGCACCACCTGCCATGCTCATGTTGTCAGCTTGCCCCAGCAGAGCAGGCTGGGCACTACCATGCCCCTCGCTCTGGGAGCTCACCCCAGCCCCAGACTGCTCCCATGTCCCTTTGGTGCCTAGGTCGAAGAGGAAGGTCTTGGGGCGGAAAGAGCCTGGTGACACCTTCAGCAGCCGACCCACTTCCCACTCACCCGTAAAGACTTCAGGCTCCCCAGCTGGTGAGTCCCTGGCAGCAGCGGGCAGCAGTGGGAAGTCTTCCAGCAGGAATGAGGATTTTAAAGCCCTGCTCCAGAAGAAGAGCAGCAAAACCAGCCCCGGTACTCGGCCATCTGCCGCCGAACTGCTCAAGACCACGAACCCGCTGGCCCGGAGGGTCATCACAGAGTTTGCCCCTGAGCTGGACGGTGCAAACAGCCCCAAAAGCCAGCCCTGACCACACAGGGGCCCCTCCAGCTGGAGGGGTGGCGATGGCTGCAGAGGGAGCGCTGCTGCAAAGGGCTGTCCTGGCTGCTGGGGAGCCCCCGTATCCTGCTGGGGGGTTCTTCTGCTTTTGTTCCTTACTTGGAGAGCTGCTGGCAGAGAGGCAGTGGCTGGAGCCCAAGCCCTCATGACTCTGGGCCCTTCCCACGAGGGAAGAGGCTGGAACTGGCCCTGGCTGAGCCAGCTCCTGGGATTGAAGGCGCCTGCCCAGGAAGCAGAACAGGATCACAGCCCCCGGTGTTGCCCCATGCCCGCAGCGAAGCAGCTTGAGACTCTTTGGTCACTTCGGCATGTGGTACTTTAAACAGCTTTTCTAATGCACAGTGGTGGTGATGTTTGATTCTCTTCCCTTTGACATTGTACCTTGAGTTTCCCATGCAGAGATACCCTGGTTGAATTCAGCTGGACACACAGATGCACTTTGGGAAGATGCCAGGGGTTCGGCTGGATCTGCGGTCGCTTTCGAAGAGTCACAGGAGGTTCCCTGTCATTGGCCTGAGCATCCTCCCTGTCACACAGGGAACCGGCACCCGGCATCCGCAGCCAGCGCCACCACCTCAAGCCAAACCCCCGCCCCTTGAAAGCCCCCAAAATGCTGCATTTTGGAGCTCCTCAGCTCTCAGTCCAAAAACAAACCCCGGAGTCGCCTCCACTGCCAGCCCCCCTGGCCTCACTGCACAGGGGTTCCAGCAGCCACCCCACTCCCCGCCAGCCCCCGTGCTGGGGGTCCTGCACCGAGATGCCGGCTGGGGCGATGGGGGTGCTGTGCCATGGGAAGGAAGCTCGTCCCCAGCTCTGCCGCCTGCATCTCCCCGACAGACCCTGCAACAACTTCTCCTGCTGCCCTGGCACCGGAGGTCCTGGGATGGTCCCGAGACGGGGGCTGGAATCCAGATGGACATCACCTGAGCCACCTCCCTGGTGACCCCTGGCTCCTCCCCAGGGCTGCCCACCACTCACCCACTGGCCACCAGGGAGCCGAGCAAGGCCAAGTGGGACACGAGCCATCGGGGCACGTGCGTGGGGCCATGGAGGAGGGTTTGCACATCCCTGCGTGGGATTTGTCCTCACCCCCAGCTGCCCCAGCACGGGGCCCAGCAGCCAGTGCCAGAGGCCGTGGTGTGGGGCTGGGGCAGGGTGGGGAGGAAGCACGAGCTCCGAGCACGGCCACGCGCCCAGAGAAACAGGAAGGGCCAGCCGCGGCTGACGAGGAAACAGGGTGTTCAGGGAAATTTCTGCTTCATTTCTTGATGTATTTCCACACACTCCAGCCCTGCTGTGCCGGGGGGAGCACTGCAGTGGGTCCAGGCAGCAGCAGGGCACCACGGCAGTGCTTTGGCTGCCCCTCCGAGGCACCTGGGCTGCTCTGGGGGTCTCTGCCCCACCAGGAGCTCTGCATCCCCGGGGAACACAGCCCAGGCAAACACTTCCCCAACATTGCCCCCACCCTGGATCTGATCCCACTGAGGCTCCAGTTGGTTCCCCTCTCATGTCTCCTGGTACTTGCTCATATCTCCCTTTCCTCTCCCAGGGCTGCAGATTTAAGCCTGTAATTAAGAGCCAGGCTGAGAAACTCAGGAAAAAAAACCAAACAAACAAAAAAAAACAACCACAAGAAAAAAGCTCTAACGAATGTCCACATTTCACCCCCATCCCGTGGCCCCAGCCAGTGGCAGGGTGCTGGATGGGGCCAGGGCACAGCTTGGGAAGCTCTGGGGACGGGTACATTTTGCACATGACTGCTCAGGAAAGCAGGGACAGAGCCGGCAAAGGGGGCTGGGGGCAAGCACGGGACATTGGCCGGAGTGGCCAGTGCTGCCGGGGGGAAATGTCCAAGTGGGCCAGAGGTCAGCTGTGGGACACAGATTGCCCACGGGACGGAGATCCTAATTTCCCTGGCCGGAGGAACACGCTCTTCCCGGCGCTCTTCCTGGGGCTCTTCCTGGCTCAGTGCTCGTCCCTGGCCGCTCCCGGTGGCCGCTCCGCTGGGAAGGCAGTGGGGTCCCGGGAACAGCCCGACCAGCAGGACAGCCCCTGTGACAGCCCCGGCCTGGGGGCCGCCAAGGTGCCAACTACGGAATGTTGTACTTTTAATCTCGCCAGCTTGGTAAAGTGCTCCCTGCTGCCCGCCTGTGCCTGTGCTTCTTTGGGCTGCCGAGGGAGCGGTGCGGGGGAGGTGGGCACCCCCCGACACCCCCTGACACCCCCGGGGAACCGGCCCCACCGGCCGGGGCCTGTCACAGCCCCTGCCCCGCACTCCAGGGCTCGGGGGGCGACACCGGGAGGTGTCAGGGCAGCCCCGGCCGGGCACCGGGGACAGGCCGGAGGGGGCGGCCACGGTGGGGCTGGGGATGGACTTGGCGTCCCGGGGACGGGTGGGATGGATGAGAGGGACGGGGACAGCGCTGGGCACTGGGGACAGCCGGGGGGAGGACTGCAAGTACGGAGGGGCGGACTGGGACTGGACTTGGCACCTGGGGCAGGTGGGAGGCATGAGAGCGACAGCCCCGAGTGCTGGGGACAGCCCTGGGTGCGGGCTACGGCCGTGGATTCCGAAGGCAGCCCGGTGTGCCGGGTGGCTCCAGCCCGCTCTCGGCGGGCACGGCCCGGTGTCCCCGGTGTCCCCGTGTCCCCTCCGGGCGGGCACGGCCCGGTGTCCCCGTGTCCCCGTGTCCCCTCCGGGCGGGCACGGCCCGGTGTCCCCGTGTCCCCGTGTCCCCTCCGGGCGGGGGTTCCATGCCGGCGCGGCGCGGGCAGCCGGGGCCCTCGGGCCGGGCAGGAGCGGCCCCGCCCGGCGCAGCGCGGGGCCTTACAGCGGCAAGATGGCGCCTAAAGGGAAAGGCGGCGGCAAAGCCGGGAAGGGTGAGCGGGGCTGGGCGGCACCGGCACCGGCACCGGGACCGGGCGGGCGGAGGCGGCACCGGGACCGGGCGGGCGGGGTCCCGGGGGCGATGGGGGCCGAGCCGGTCTCAGAGCCCGGCAGGGGCGGCGGGGACCGGGCCGGTGTCACGGTGCTCGGTTCACAGGCGGCGACAGCGGCGGCGGCGGCAGCGAGGGCAAAGCACAGGGCCCGAAGGGAGGCGGCAGCGCCGTTAAGGTGAGTGCGGGGGGCGGCGGGGCCGGGGTCTCCGCCCAGCACCGGAGGCTCGCCCCGCCCGCCGGCCCCGCTCGCCACAGCCCCGCTGGGCTCCCCGGCAGGTTCGGCACATCCTGTGCGAGAAGCACGGCCGCGCCATGGAGGCCATGGAGAAGCTGAAGGCCGGGCAGCGCTTTAGCGAGGTGGCGGCGCAGTACAGCGAGGACAAGGCCAGGCAGGGGGTGAGTGGGTGCTGCACCCGGGACGGGGCAGCGGGAGCCGGGGTCCTGCTCGTCCCACCCTCCCTGCTCTGAGGCTCAGCGCTTAACCCCGGCGGTGCCTCCCTGCAGGGAGACCTGGGCTGGATGACCAGAGGCTCCATGGTGGGACCATTCCAGGAGGCAGCGTTTGCCCTGCCTGTGAGCAGCATGGACAAGCCCGTGTACACGGACCCTCCCGTTAAAACCAAGTTCGGATACCACATCATCATGGTGGAAGGCAGAAAATAAAATGTAAATGACCATCATGACCTTGTTGACTGCTTGAATCCCGAGTCTCAGCCACCTTGGCCTTGGAACAAGTCAGGCACAACCAGCAACGCGTCTGGAGGCAGCTGCTGTCCCTGCCACTGTGCTGGCAGAGCAGAGCCCTGCCTGGAGAGGTAAAGTGTGCCTGGGAAGGGTGAAACAAAAGCCTTTTACAGATGTTGAAGCCTTTGTTGTCTGGCAGCCTCTTGCTTCTCCTGCTGTGCAGATAATGGTCTGTCAGCAGAATGAGGTGCCCAGGCTTTTATCTACAAACAGAAATGACAGAAAGGGACAGAGGGGGCCCCCAGGGCTTGGTCTCCATCTCCATCGTCCCCAGCAGGGTGCAGACAGCTCCCATGGTGCAGGTTGTGCTCCAGGGCTGCAGGACAGTCCCGTCAGTGCAGGGTGGGTAACACTGGAGCTGCGTCAGGCCAGGCAGGGAAGGGAGCTGGGGGCAGGAGGGAAGGAAGAGCTCTCCTGAGCACAGACTCACCTCTTCCTACAGCTCCACCTTGCCCACTCAGAGCTGGGGGAAGAAACGGGATAACTCAGGTTTGAATAAGAAAAAAGCCACTAAAGGCTTGTGTCCTGCTTACTGCGCTCTGCTGTGCTGTGAGATGTGCAGGGGAAACAGGCCAGCAGGGTTCCTGCCATCTCAGGAATCCAGCTCAGATCCCTTTCCTGCCCACAGAGCCCCTGAAGCAGCCACAGTTCCAGCAACGTTTACAGGTGAGCACCATGCACAGAGTTCAGAGATGAGGAGGAAACATCAAAGAACAAAAGGTCCTTCCCTTCCCTCCCTTTTCAGGGTGTTGGTTTTGCTGAGTGTGGAATGCTGAGGGCAGCCAGTGAATGGCTTGCTATGGAGGGCAGACACTGCCCCATGTAATGGTGCTCTGTAAATAAACCTCTTGTTTCCAGGCTACCAGAGCCCTGTTCTCTCTTTTGGCAAAAGCAGATTGACACAACAGCAGAATCAGATCCGTGTTTGCTGTGGTTCCGAGTACAGAGAGCTGCTCAGCCAGGTGTGGTGTCCTGTGCTGTGCTGTGGTGCTGCAGAAGGCAGCATGCCGTGGCACAGGGAAACATCCATGGTATCTGCTGCTGTGCTGTCACCAGCTGAGACTGGCAGCAGTCAGTCCCAGTGCCCAGCACGCCACACCGAGGCTGTGTTGGTGAGGGGCACAGTCACTCAAAGCCAGAACCAGGAGGTTTTGAGCTGCTGGTTTGTGCGATTGAAATGCTCTCAGCCAGTTTGCTGACAACACTGAGCTGTGTGCTGTGGTCACACACTGGAAGGAAGGACCGATCCAGGGGGGCCTGGACAGGCTGGAGAGGTGGGACCACATGAAAAGTACAAGGTTCTACACCTGGGTCAGGGCATTCCCAGACACAGCTGCAGATTGGGCAGATGAGGGATTGAGAGCAGCCCTGGGAGAAGGATTTGGGGGTGATGGTTAACAAAAAACTCACCACGAGCCAGCAGTGAGCTTTCCCAGCCCAGAAACCCCCCCATGTCCTGGGCTGCATCCAAAGGAACGTGGGCAGCAGGCAAGGGAAGGGATTCTCCCCCTCTACTCTGCGCTCCCAAGATCCTGCCTAGAGCCCTGCACACAGTTCTGCGGCCCCCAGCAATAGGACATGGAACTGTTGGAGCAAGTCCAGAAGAGGCCATGAAGGTGATAAGAGGACTGGAGCATCTCTGCTATGAAGAAAGGCTGAGAGTTGGGGCTTTTCAGGCTGTTCAGCCTGGGGAAGGTTGTGTGGACACCTCATCACACATTTCAGTATTTGAAACAGCCTACAGGGGAGCCAGAGAGGGACTCTTCATCCAGAACTGGAATGACAGGATACAGAGTAATAGGTTCAGGCTGACAGAGGGTAGCGTTAGAAGGGATATTGGGAAGAAATTCTTCCCTGTGAGGGTGATAAAACACTGGCACAGGTTGCCCAGAGAAGCTGTGGCTGCCCCATCCGTGGAAGTGTTTCAAGGCCAGGCTTGGAGCAACTGGGTCTAGTGGCAGGAGTCCCTGCTTGTGGCAGGGGTTGCAACTGGAAGGGCTTTAAGGTACCCAAATGGTGGGTGACTTGCAGGCACCCAAACTGATTATTTAAAACCCTGAAGGAGGGAGGAACCACAGCAGCCCAAGGCCATGGGACTGCACTGTCCCATCTTCTCAGGGGAGAGGAGTGGCACAACCTGGAGGGTAGAAAGGTAAAACCAGGGCTGCCAGCATGGAGAGGGGTTTAGACATCAACACCACCATTTTTTTAATTAAACAATCAGACAGGAACATGAACCATTTGCACCTTCGTGAGCTGACTCCTCAGTGAAGTTCCCCCCCAGCACCTGGATGTTTGGACTGTTTTCTCAAGCAGGAGCTGCTGAATTTGCTGAGTCACACGAGTACATGGCAGGCAGCCTGGAGCTGGCTCAGGGATCCCAGGGCTGTGGTGCAGACACAGGATAACGAGGAACAGCCAGACTGTTCACAGAGCCACACGTGTCACTTCTGGGCCAGCTGTCTGTACAAATTCAGAGTCAGAAGCATAATTTCAGGATCCCCACTTTTTATGTCAAGAGCTTGCACAAAGCAGTCCAATGCCTCCTGGAGTTTTCCATCATTCTGAAGTTTCTTCCCACTGTGTACCAAGGTGTCGTAATCTGCAGCAGGAGAGGAGCTCTGCTCAATGCCCTTTTCAGCGCTGCTTTCCTGGGTGAAGTAGTCAATCTGCTCTCCTGACTGGAGCTCAGTGTCACCCGTGGATTCCTCCTGAGATGACTCCGTCTCCTCTGCCTCGGACTGCTCAGATTCCCCGCTGTCTGTGTGGGAGGACTCTTCACCTGTATCGAGTGTTTCTCCAGTAGGTTCTTCTTCAGTCTCAGCAGATTCCCCAGTGCACTCCTCAGCTTCATCTTCCACAAGCCCGTCTTGCTCCTCATCACCATCATCATCGTCTTCTTCATCAGTGGCTCCCATGATTTCCCCAATATCCTCCACCTCATCTGCCAACCTGCTGATGACCGAGCGCCTGGAAGCGTTAGACCTGTTTCCACTGTTATTTAGCTGGGGAGAAAAGATGGCTTTAGCTCTTATTTTGTCATATTTAGGGGTGGAAGCGCTAACTCCTTCTGGAATTCCGTGCTGAGAGCTGCCCAAGGGAGAGGAGGTCACTTGCTCAGGCTGCTCTTCACTCTCACTGTCTGAAGTCAGTCTGTTTAAGCGTTTCTTCCTACCAAAAGTAGAGAGAACACTGCTTTCATCCAATGCTTTACTCCCTTGCAGGGAGGCATTTGGCTCTTCCTCAGCTGTGGGACAGGGTTTGCCATGGCTACTGGTCTCATTTGGCCAAGTTCTGTTTGGAGATTCTTTGTCTGGAGATTTACACAAGCTTTCTGCCTGCAGTTGTAAGCTCTCCCTCTCAGGATGTTCCACTGATCCTTCTCTACTTGAGGCATCCTGCCATCCCTCTTCAGACTCTTCCAAAACCAGATTGAAGTCAACTTGATCCTGGAAAGAAGGAGCAGATGTGCCCTCCAAACTGTCTTCCAACACATGAGACTTGTAGACCTCAGCATCAATCTCTGGTGTAACGTTTGATGAACTCAGCACTGCAGAAGCAGAAGCCGGCTCAGGAACATTGTTCTGCTCTGTCCCCAGGGCAGCGTGTGAGTCAAGTACCTGAAGTGACAAATCTGCATCCCTGCTAGGATCACCAGCCATGCCAGACTCAGAGGAACTGTGACAATGCCCAGAGAGGTCATTCCTCACCTCGGCTGAGGTGTCTGAATGTACCTGCGAATGCCGTTTCCCTTGGAGGCTCTGACTCTCTTTCTCGAGTGCAGGGGATGCTGTAATGCTAGATTCAGGATTTTGCTCGGATTCTTGTATAATAGATTGTTCTTCTGTCTTGCTGGTATTGAGCACTTCTGTCTCCGTGCTGGACACATCTTGTACCAGTTTCTCTTCATCCAAGTCACCAAGAGTCAGAGTTGTCATTTTGGAGCTGACATTGAGCACCTGGGCCTCATCCTCATCTGTAAGATCAATAACTTTGTCTTTTTCGTATGCATCAGCTACTGGTGGTGAAACAAAGTGATTTTTATCGTTCAACCCTTCAACAGAAAACGTCTTTGGCCTGGAAACTGATTCCGATGGTCTTTGCCACTTCTCTTCACAAGCATTTCTGATCCCCTCCATCCTCTGATCTCTGAGCTGGGACTCCAGCTGGACCAGCTCGTGGGCTTTCTGGACCCTCTTCTGGATGTACTGGTGGGCTTCCTCGCTCTCCACCTGCTCCTCATGAGCTATTTCCCTCGTGTAGATCAGGTCGTGGTCGGAAATGCCAAACATTGCCAGGGAATGCAGGTAAGCAAGGTGCTCATCCAGCTGCAGGTCAGACTTCCTTTGCATGGCGTGCAGGGACTGCAGCTGGATCTGGGTCGCAGATGTGCGAGTGTCCTCCAACGTGAAGAGCTCCCTCAGCTCCTGTTTGGAGAAATAACGGAACGGGTTCTTTTTGTCACCGGTGCTCTGTCTGATTAACGAGTCCTTGAATACCTGCCGCCTGTAAATCTTCTCTTCCACCGTGCCGCAGGTGATCAGCCTGTAAATCACCACGTTCTCCTTCTGCCCAATTCTGTAAGCTCTGTCCACAGCCTGAGCGTCGGTGGCTGGGTTCCAGCTGGGATCAAAGATCACCACTCGGCTGGCGGCTGTCAGGGTTATGCCAACGCCCCCAACCTGCGTGGTGAGCAGGAAGACAGAGTAGTCGCTGTTGCTCTGGAAGGCGTTGATGCGCCTCTCCCGCTCCGTCAGGTGCGTCACCGTGCCGTCGATGCGCAGGATCTGGAACTGTCGGCGAGACAGGACGAGCTCTATGATATCCAGCATCTTCCTCGACTGTGAGAACACCAGGGTTCGGTGTCCCTCTTCTCTCAGCCGTTCCAGCAGCCCCACAAGGAACTGCATCTTCCCAGACTCCTGGATCACAGTCTCATCAGAGAGATGATCTATTTTTTTCATGCCTGAAAGCATACCTGCCTCCATCCTGTAATCCTGCTCGGAGCCCTCCTGCTCTTCCAAGCCCAGCTGGATACAGGCTCTCGCAGACAGAAGCCTGGGGTGGTCACAGAGCTTCTTCAGGACGGTCAGCTCGGCCAGAGGCGATCGGGTCGTCATCAGCACTTCCTTCACATGATCCAGGCAGAGAAAGTTCCTGTAGATTTCCTCCTGCACCGGTGCCAGGTACACCCACACAACAAAGTCATTTTTCCTAGTGAGAGACGGCATGATGGGAACCTTGTTCTCACTTGGGTCCTCAGGAAAAGGAGCATCCGCTTTATCAGCATGAGAGTTTTTGATGTCTTCCTTGGTCCTTCTGAGAAAATAGGGCTTTATAATTGCCATGAGATTCTCTGATATCTTTAGCCCCAGCGCTTTCTCACCTGGAGTCGCATCCTTCTCCCTCGCCCTGGTAATGGGATTCTCATATTCCATTTTAAAAGTTTTGGCAGTTCCCAGGAGGGAGCCTTGGCAGGCAAAGTCAAACAAGGACCACATTTCCCGCAGGTTGTTCTGCACGGGGGTGCCCGTAAGCAGGACGCGGTGCTGGGCCGGGATTGCGTACACACACTTGGTTGTCTTGTTTGACGGGCACTTGATCTTGTGTGCTTCGTCGAGGATGACGTAGTCCCAGACAAACTCCTGCTCGTGGCGGCTGGCTAGCTGCTTCCAATTGTTAATGAGCATCTGGTAGCTCGTGATGACGATGCCATTCTTCCTCTGGACCCTCTCCAGGTTCCTGGTGCGCTCTGTCTTGCTGCTGCCGTGGAACTCCTTGACGCGTAGGCCGGGGGTCCAGCGAGCGAACTCAGCCAGCCAGCTGCTGACCAGGGTGGTGGGCATGATGAGCAGGACGTGCTGGATGAGCTCGGCGTCGAACATACCCGAGAGGAAGGCGATCACCTGGATGGTCTTGCCCAGGCCCATGTCATCGGCCAGGATGCCACCAGGCTTGCCCTCCCGGTGCAGGCGGTACAGGAACGCGACACCTTCCCGCTGGTGCTGGAACAGCTTCCCGTGCATCTCGCCGTAGATCAGCAGGCCGCTGCCGCACACGTCCACGAAGCCTTCATCATCATCCTCCTCCTCCTGCTGCTGCTCGGCCGCCGCCAGCGCCTCCTGCACCCGCCGCATGCGGCCCCGCAGCTTCTCGCTGGGGCGGATGGCAGCCGCCAGCCGGAACAGCCGCAGCGCCTCCTGCAGGTCCCCGTCGGCCGCCGCCGCCTTCGCGCTGCTCACGAACCTGAGGGAGTCACCGTGAGCACCGGGCGGCCGGGCCCGGGCTATACCCGGGAGTACGGGCCCGCCACCCCCCGCCCCGGCCCGCCCGCAGCCTCCCGGCCGCTCGGCCCCGGCCCCACTCACCCCCGGTACCGCTCCTCTTCCGCCGCCGCCGCCGGTCCCGGCCCAGGGGCGGCCATGGCGCTGCCGCGCCGCGCTTCGAACGCGGCCCTTCCCGTCCTGCACCGCGCCTCATGTAAATCAGCCGCGCCCGCAGCCAATCAGCGCCAGGGGCGGGGCCAGGGGGGCGGGGTCGGGCGCCACCCGCGCCTCCTCCCGGCTCTGGGGACAGCGGGAGCGGCAGCGGCGCCGCCCGGTCCCGTTCCCTCCGCGCGGTGGGGACCGAGCTGCGGGACATCCGCGGGGAGCCCGGCAGAGCCCCGGATCCCCCCGCCCCCGGTGCGCTCGCGGTTCCCGCCGCGCCATAGGCGCACGGGCACGGGCGGTGGGGGCCTCCCGCCGGCAGGGGGCGCCGCTCCCCGCTCCCCGCTCCCCGCGCGGAGTCCCGGGAAAGCGAGCGCTGCCATGGAGGCGCGCGCCGCGGGCTGCGGCCTGCTCGTATCCACCGGGCGCGGCGGGGCCGGGCGGGCGGGGGGCAGCGGCGGGGCGGGGCAGGCCGGTTACCGGAGCTTTTCTTAACTGCGGCGCAGAGCGTTGCCGGCGCGGAGGTGCGGGCCGGGCGGCGGGAGCCGTGCGTGCTCGGCCTGGAGCGGCGGGCCGGCCGCTACGGGTGAGTGCGAGCCCGGCGGGGCTGCGGGCGCTTCTCCCCCGAGCTGCCGCTGCCGTGGTGGCTGGCGGGGTCCCGGCGGGCTCCCGTCACCCTGCGGGCGGGGACCCGCGGGCCCGGCTCTCCGGAGGTGCCTTCCCGGCTCCCCGGTGCTCCTCCGGCATCCCGAGCCGCTGCTGCCCGGTGCTGGACCCGCCCCGTGCAGGGACCGTTCATCGGCCCTGACTTCTCCCCCGGGGTGTCCGCGTCCTGCACCGTCTCACCTTCCTTTTTCCTCCTCCTGCCCCAGAAACCTAGCGATAAAAATCAAACATTGTGTCTGTACACACGGCTCCCGTTTGTGAGCAGGGCGTTGCTGCCGGGTCTTTACGAGCCTTCCTTCTGTCTGCAGGGTCGTTATTCACTCCCAGGAGAAAGAAAACTCTGATCCGGATTATATTCCCATCAATAGCCGCTTTAAATGTGTGCAAGGTACTGACTGCTGGGGGGAGGAAGAATCCCCTGCTGTTCATCCACAAACCCCAAATTTAGTGTTTACTGTTTCCTGACCTGCCTCCTGAGCATTGAATCCTTTCACTGTGAAACAACAGCTCGCATTTTATGGAATCCCTGGTTCCTCATCCAAGCAGGCTGTCATTCCATGTCAGCATGCAGTTGTGAGGAACTTGGCAGGCTCCAGTGCGTGGTGGGCTTGGCATCACCCAGAGCCAACACACGCAGGACCTGCTGCCAGGGGCTGGGATTTGGTGTCTGCTGGAGTCTGACTCTCAGGCTTCTCTGCTGTGCCGAGAGCTGGGAGCTGTTGCCTTTTCCTCAATGTTGATATCTAAACTTCCGTACGGTCTAGCAAGCTCTCAGCATCCCACCTGTTGGATCAGGAAGGGCTTTAGGCCTTGTCTTGGAAAAACTTAAATAGCAGCAAGTGGCCCTAGGGCGAATCTTTGTAAGGAGTAAAAGTCCTTTTTCCTGGATTTGCTCGTTCCCTTGTGTGCAGTTCAGTGATGTTCTGCCCCTGGTCTTGCCCTGTAGAGAAGCTCTGCTGCACTGATGGGGAAAAACCTTCCAGAGAACTGTGTGGTGGGAATGTCCCTGGGGCCTCGTTGGGAGGTGACTCTCAGAACCGTTAGGAATGTCCAGATGTAAATTAGAGCTCTTTGTTCCTGTCAGGACTCTTGGTGGCTGGTAGCAGGCAGTGTAATTACGTGAGTCCTCAATTACTGCAGCATCCAGCGTCAGCTCTACTGATCCTGTTCTTCTCTTTTCTAGAGGCAGAAGAAACTCTGCTGATTGATATAGCTACAAACAGTAAGTTTCATAAGGGCAGTGCTGTAGCTAAAGGTCCTGTCAGGGAACAGCCACTGGTGCTTGTTTTGCCTCCCAGTCTTCCCCCAGGCTCTGTGTTTGTCCTCTGCTCAAACGGGGGTTGTTTTCCCTCTGATGTTGTCATCTGGCTCTGTCAGACACTCAGTTGTCAAGACAGACAAGGTTTGAAATGCAAACGATTGAAGTGTTTGCAGTTTTTCTTCCTGCTTTTGGAGCTCTTCTCTGCGAGGTTGCAGCAGGGAGGATTCCGAAAGCCAGGAGAAGTGCTGGGGTTAGCCCAAGCAGGGCGGGGGGACCTCAGAAGCGCAGGGAGAGTAACTTAGTGCAGGTTTCCATCCCAAACAACACCTGAAACTGGCTGGGAAGCCTGGGGACTCTGAGCCAGCCTGGGCTGACGCAGTGAGTGTGCTTGAAGCAGGCTGCAAGGTCCGGATCCAGGGTGACGAGGCACCGGAGCGGCTCTTCGAGATCCCTGACGAGGAGCGCTGCTTGGGATTCCTGTCGGAAGTGCAGAGCATACAGGAAGGTGAGCAGAGTTGCCCCTGGGGCTGTGAAATCCTCTGCCAGCAGTTTCTGACAGGGATGGGTTTTTTTCCAGCCCACCTGAAAGCGTCTCTTCCTGAAGCAAAGGACTCAGCCATTTGGCATCAGGTGGAGAAGAGCCTCACAGGTCTGTCTCCAGGTACAGCTGGCTTTGTTGTGGGGCTTGTGCAGTGCTGGGGTGCCCAGGGTAGGAGCTGGGTCTGGCCCTGCTTCCTTGACTGTTAATTCCCTCCTAAGTGCTGTTTTCAACTTTGTTTTGTGCATGTTAAGGTCCTTCCTGCCTTAGCTTGGGGTTAGTGCCCCTTTCTCCAATTTCCAGGGACACGCTGTTGATATATTCCTACCATCATTTGGTTTTTTGCTTTCTGTGGAGTTAGGTTTTTTCCTTCTTGATCTGAGCTGTTTCAGATTGTTTCTCAGGGTGTTTTTCTTGGATTTTTGTTACAGGAGCTCTGGGGTTTGAGGATGACTTCAATACTCTGAGCCTAGAAGAGAAAAGGAACATGCAGAACCACCAGGCGGGATCTCGGCGGGAGCCCCCGCCTCCTCCCGTCCCTCAGAATAAGCAGTAAGAAAAGCAGGGGATCTGTTCCCTTTTTCACTTTTCTTCCTAGACAGCAGAACTAGTTCTAGTGCTGCTCTTGCCTCCTTCCTAGGTTTCACCGAGAGAGAGAAGGCACATCCAGAGACCAGCCCAAGGTGACCAACACGATGCGCAAGATGTTTTTGCCCAGCACGCAGTCGGGGCAGAGAGAGGGGCTCATCAAACATGTGCTGGCCAAGAGGGAGAAGGCCTACATCAACCTGCACAACTTCAGGTGAGACCTGGGAGGGAAGGACAGAGCTGGGGGGTGTTTCCTACGAGCTTGGATCTCACCCAGGATCGGACCCTGGCAGCTGCTGATGTTGCAGCTCAGGTGGCCAAAGAGGATGGTACAGCCCAAGTCACCAAGTGTCCATGGGGCAGCTGCTCCTTTTATCTTCTCTGGGTGTGTCAGATCTCCTGAGCCTTGGAAAGGCTGGAGCAGGTGGGCAGGAAGAGTGAGGACAGATGTCCCACCGTAGTGTTGTGGTGTTAAAAGAGCCAGATGTTTGCTGGTGGAATGTCTCACTCCGAGAGGAGTGTCACTGGGAGTGAGCCCAGCCTGGGAGCATTTTCAAGGAGCAGCTGAGGGAGCAGGGGAGCCTCAGCCTGGAGAAAAGGAGGCTCAGGGGGGACCTTCTGGCTCTCCCCAACTCCCTGTCAGGCTCTGCTCCCAGGGAACAAGAGAGAGTGCAAGAGGAAATGGCCTCAAACTGCACCAGGAAAGCTTCAGGGTGGACAGCAGCAGGATTTTCCCCATGGAATGGGTGGTCAGGCCTCGGCAGGGGCTGCCTAGGGAGGTTTGGAGTCCCCATCCCTGGAGGTGTGAAAGGAATGCCTGGATGTGGCACTCAGAGCTCTGGGCTTGGTGACATGGTGGGGATTGGGCACAGGTTGGACTCGGTGATCCTGGAGGGCTTTTCCAGCCTCAGTGATCCTGTGGCTTTCAGATCCCCCATGGCTGCCACTGCCCCATGCAGGGACAGCTCCCAGTGCGTGCCTGCAGCCAGAACACTGCTGTGCTGCTGTGCTTTTCATTGTGTTTTCTAACAGCTCCTCTGCTTTTGTGCTGCAGGTTCTTTGTGGGAACGTGGAATGTGAATGGGCAGTCTCCTGACAGCTTCTTGAATCCATGGCTGGTGTGTGACACGGAGCCTCCAGACTTCTACTGCATCGGGTGAGGGGATCCAGGAGGGCTGGGCTGGGTTTGGGTTCCTGCTGTGCTCACAGAGGCTGCACAGAGCTGAGCTGTGTCACACAGGGGCTGTCTGAGGGCAAAAAAAGCCGTCAGATGAGGCAGAGGATCAGGTTGAACAGAGCTAGCATGACATAATGGATTTTCCTGGAGGCATCTGCAGGGTTTGCTCATTGTCCTCTGCCTGTTCTCAGGGAGAGGGCTGCTGGGGGTTTGTGCTGGGGTCCCAAAGGCACTGTGGGGAAATCCTACTGCTTTATTTAGCAAGTGGCCATAAGGAGCTGTTCCTCCAAGGGCTGTTGCTGGAGGTTTCACGTTCCTGTAGGAAGAAGGGGACGTGCAGGAGGGCTGGAGGTGCTAAGCTCTTGGGTTTCCAGGTTCCAGGAGCTGGACCTCAGCACGGAGGCTTTTTTCTACTTTGATTCTACAAAGGAGCAGGAGTGGCTGTCTGCTGTGGAGAGGTTCCTGCACCCTAAGGCCAAATACAAGAAAGTGAGTTCTGCTCAGTGGCATGGGGGCTTGTCATGGAGCTGGCGTGATGGGAGGGAAAAGGAAACGGGCTTCCCTTGTCCTCCCTGTCCAAGGAGCAAGGCTTGGAGAAACCAAGGGTGGTACTGGACATGTGCATGCCTGGGCACGTGTCAGCTGTGTCAGGTTAAATCTGGAGAGTCTGCTTCTGCACCACAGTTGTGGGGAAATACTGTGCTTTAAAGCAGAAATTTGTAAAGGTGGGGGACCACAATACCTTTATCAAATAGGAGGTAGTGCCAGGGAAGCAGCAGGTTCAAATTCTCTACCTATATTACCTTCTCATCCTGTAGTACAGGAGCCAGATGTGTCCTGAGCTGATAAATTAAATGAGTAGCTTTTCCCTGAAGGAATGGGATGATTTATGAAGTGAAATCTTCCAGATGCTGCTGCCTTGAGTCAGAATTGCTTCAGCTGTGGCAACAGGACTTTGTTCTGGCTCCTTTAGAGCAAGACATTGGTTTTGTCTCTGCTGTGGCAAACCTTCCTGCTGCAGGGACCAGTCCTGGATACATGAATGGGTTTCCCTTTCCTCCTTGGGCTGTGTGTTTGCTGTCACACCCCATCCTGCTTGCTCTGAGCAGGTGTTACAGGGAGTGAAGCAGGAAATGGAGTATCTTGCTGAAATGAGACCTACCAAAGGAAGTCATGGCCCAAACTGCAGGGGGATTCCTGCTCCCTCCCCTCCCTTTGCTTCACCTGAGTTTTGGGTGAATTTCTCCCACCTCAGTGAAAGGGAGAGCACAGGATATGGCTGCAGGAGGGGGAAGTGGCTGGAGCTGTAGATAAGGCTTGTGGTCACTTGCAAATTCTGCTCCTGCAGAGCAGACTGGGTGCAGCCCTTAGAGCCAAATTCTCTGCTCTCCGCTTCTTTCCTCACCCCATAGACTCAGTCCCACCAGATGTGAATGTTTCTGTGCATACAGGTGAGCATGCAGACTGTGCTCGAGCAGATGAGGCCTTGTCACTGTTTCAGAGTGGCGATAGCACCGTTTTGGAGGTGCAGGAAGGTCACAGACTGGGCAGGGTTGGCTTGCACACGTACAAGATCAGCAGCAGACCTGAGATCCCCACTGGGACAGGGCACACGAGCACAGTGTCAGCCTCTGTGGGCTGAGAGATAACTGCTCAGGTCCAGAGGGGCCCTTGGCTTTAGGGAACGAGTATTTCCTGGGAAGGAGCCTGTCTGTAGCACAGAGATGCCTTTTGCTACCCTGTGCCTCAGGGAAACGAGAACATCTCTGTGCATTCCCCTCTGCTCTGGAGTCCGCAGTAAGCCAGGGTGAGCTCTGACTCCCACTGCACCTGCCTGGAGCACTCAGAGCCTTCTCTGCCTGTGCTGGTCAGAGCACAGCAAGGGCTGAGACCTGAGTCACAAACCTGCCAGGCATTTATTTGCTTTCTCTTTGCCCAGCCTGTTGTAGGGAGGGACCAGAGTAGGGAATGCAGTGAGCTCAGCACCGCTGACAGCTCCTGGGGGTGACAGGTGGACCCCAAGAACCTTGCTGTGGACAGGAGACCCTTTGGGTTCTCTTGTGCAATTAGGGATTGAGTAGAGAACACGAGGAACAGCGAGAGCCAGAGCAGCAGAGCATCAGGCAGAGCAGATCAGATCAGAACTGCGTTCCCTCTGCCTCTCTGGCAATTCAGGATCCTGTTTATTTTTGCAGGTGCAAATGGTCCGCCTCGTTGGGATGATGTTGCTCATATTTGCTAAGAAGGATCATCTGAGCAATATCAGGGAGATTGTGACAGAGTCTGTGGGCACGGGAGTCATGGGAAAGATGGTGAGTCACCGAGGCCAGCTTGTGGCTTCCCTGTATCCGTGCAAGAAGTGGCACAGTCTGGTTTGGTTCACCTGGGCCACCCCTGCCCCTCCCTGTGCCTGCCCCGCTGCAACCCCGCTGCTCCCTCCTGTCCCCAGGGCAACAAGGGTGGTGTGGCCATCAGGTTCATGTTCTACAACACCACCTTCTGTGTCGTCAACTCCCACCTGGCTGCCCACGTGGAGGACTTTGAGCGCCGAAACCAGGACTACAAGGACATCTGTGCCCGGATGAGCTTCGTAATCCCCGGTGACAGCCTGTCCGAGCTCAACATCATGAAACACGAGTGAGTTGTGCCCTTTGGAAGCGGTGTCGAGTGACCCAAGCCACACCAGAACTGCAGCAGCAGGAGGTTTCATGCACATGAGTTTTCTGGCTTGATGAAATAAATTGAAATCCCAAGGGCTGTGGTGTGCTGCAGTTCCTGCAGACAAGCTGGTCACCTCCTTGCTGCAGTGCCTTGTGCACCCTGTCCCCAGTGTCCCTCTCCTTGCATTTGTGAATAACTTAGGCCTTTTCAGCAAGCCTAAACAGAATACAAATGGTTGGTACTTCTGTAATTAATAGTTAAACCATTTAAAAACCAAAAATGTAGAGTGGATTACTGCAGGAAAAAACTTCAAATATTAGATTATCCCTGATAATCCACTAATGGAAATGTTGAGGTTTGACTATAAACAGGAAGAGCTTTGGTACTAGCAAGAGGTTTAAATTTTAATCTTTAAATGAAACCTTTATGGAGCAAAGAGTGAGTCCCATAAGTGTTTCTTTAGTTGCTGATAGCAAGGAGGCTGTAGGCCTGGAGAGGAGCAGGGTGGGAGCGAGTGCTGGTGAGCTGTGGCTGAAGGCTGCGATGGGAAACAGTGTCCAGAAGGTTGTAAACTCCAGGAACTTAATTCTGCTCCTGCTAATTCTGTGTCAGGAGGTCTTGGCTCAGTAGGTGGTGCAGCAGCTCCTGCTCTGGTTGAAGGGAAGGCAGTGAAAAAGCAGCAGGTAAAGCAGGTGCCACATGAGGGACATGGCAGATAGAGCTGGCTGACAGGCTGGCTCTGCTCAATGAGCTCCACCTCAGTATCAGCTGGACTTCGTGTGAACACTGGTTTTGCTTCATTAGAGAGTCTGTGCTGTTCTGTGGCTTTTTTTCAGGCTGAGACAAGTGCATTATCTCCTACTAAACCAAGTCTTCAGTCTTTGGGGAGTTCCAGAGGAGATGGACTCAGTCCTGTAGGCTCTGCTGTCACTAGAAGTTTCTGCTGTTGGACTCAAATGCCTCCTTTTTGTCTTCCACATGTCTCAGCTTTAACGTGGTTTATAAAGGGGAGCTGTTAACTGCTGGGTGGCCAGGCCCTGGCACAGGCTGCCCAGAGAAGCTGTGGTTGCCCCATCCCTGGAATTGTTCAAGGCCAAAAGGCCAACTTGGACAGGGCTCGGAGCAACCTGGATAATGGAAGTTGTCCCTGTCCATGACAAGATGAGCTTTAAGCTCATTTCCAAACCAGACCATTCCATGATTCTGTGTGTATCTTTGTTTGCAGTGTTGTTATCTGGCTGGGAGACCTGAACTACAGGCTGTGTCTGCTGGATGCCAGTGAGGTGAAGAATCTCATCAGCAGGAACGAGCTGCAGAAGCTGCTGACCTATGACCAGGTCAGTGAAGTCACTCACATTCACCCCATCCCTGGGAAGGCATCTTGGTTCAGGATGTGCCTCTGCTGGAGAGGAGCTGGGGAAGGGGCTGGAGCACAAATCTGGTGAGGAGCACCTGGGTTGCTCAGCCTGGAGAGGAGGAGGCTCAGGGGGACCTTCTTGCTCTCTACAGCTCCCTGCCAGGAGGGTGCAGCCGGGTGGGGGTTGGCCTCTTCTCCCAGGTGACAGCTGGCAGGACAAGAGGAGAGACTTGAGGCCTCAAGTTGTGCCAGGAGAGGTTCAGGTTGGATGTTGGGGAAAATATTTTATGGAAAATGCTTTCCAGCCATGGCACAGACTGCCCAGGACAGAGATGACCCCATTCCTGGAGGGATTTAGCAGACACATAGAGGTGGCACATGGGGACATAGGTTAGTTGTGGCCTTGACAGTGCTGGGGGAACAGTTGGACTCAGTGGTTTTGGAGAGCTTTTCCAAGCTATGTAATTCCATGGCACACAGCAATAAGGGTTTGGACACAGGCACTGGACCCTGACAGAGCTCTGGGCGTGCTGCTTGCAACATCTCCCTAAACAAAACCAGATTGTCCATGCTGGGGTGACTCAGGCAGGCACTGTGTAAGTGTGTCCGTGTCTCAGAGCAGGAGTTCTCTTAAACACAAACTACAAGCTGAACACAGGCATTTGTAACAGCAACAACAGCTGCTGTGATCAGTGCTGTGGAAGAGGTATTGATTTGGAGCCCAGTTTGACCTGAATTCTGTGCTGCCACCTCCCCTGCTCGGCATTCCCTGCAGCACACGGAGGCTGGTGGCAGGTGCCCTTCAGGTGAAGGGTTGCACTTGGGAAACATGAACAACAGTGGTGCAATATCACCTCTGACACAGTTTAACAGTAAATTTGGTTGGTTGTCCTCTGTAGCTCGTTTTTGCTGTACTGCAGAGCTTCGTGCAGGCTGCAGCTGAGGTCTTAGTGAGGAAAACATCCAGATTTTTCAGAGGAGTAAAGGAGCAAAGGAGGGTGGTGTCAGATGGTCAGGCAAGTGCAGTCCTGGAGGTTTTTGCTAAAGTGATTGGTGGGGAAAGATTAATGATGGCAATCTTAAGCATGAAAACTGATGAAAGCATTCAGTAATTAGTATTTCCCTTAACTCTTGCTTGATGCTGCCTGCATGTTCTGGTGAGCAGTGTCCATTTGCACTCAGTCTGTTTGGAAAACATTCCAGTTGTGTGTTAAAGGTGTGAGGTCTGAGAGGCAGTTTGGGGGTGTCTGTGAATCCCACAGGCCTGCAGATCTGCTCTCTGACACCGCTGTGGCAGGGGAGGCTTTCTTGGGTTTGGTTTGGTTTTTTTTTTCTTTTTAAAGCTTTCTTTTTCTGCTTTAGCTGAATATTCAGCGCACTCAGAAGAAAGCATTTGCAGATTTCATGGAGGGAGATATTACATTCATCCCCACGTATAAATATGACTCTAAAACAGATCGCTGGGACTCCAGGTACACTGGGCGTGTTTACCTATGACCTAAAACACATTTTCTCACAAAACCTGATTTCCTGCTTCCTAGAGCTGTGAATACCTGTCAGTGTTGTTTGGCCTTCCTTTCTTTCCTGCTTTCTGCAATAAGCAGCCCCTGTGTGAGTTGACCAGGCACATCCCTTAGAGCTCTGTTGCTGCTGATCCCACTGGATGAGGGCAGGTGAAGTGGGAGCTCAGGTGACACTGCACTAGGGGCTTCTTCTATTACCAGGGACAGGCAAACAGTATAAAAAAGGAATTGAAGAGCTAAGGAAACAGGCTCTCTGAGTCACCCTGTCCCCTGACTTGCACACCCACAGGGTGGCTGCACTGTGATAGCAGCTGTGGTTCCTGCTTGGTGCCTCCCACAGACATGGCTGCATCTGCTGCAGGGGCTGCTCCCAAGGGAGAAACTCCCAAGAAGGACTTTCAAACCATGTGGTGATTGAATTTGCCATGTTTATGAATCAGCAGAGTAGTTAATCTGAGGAGGGATAACCCAGGATTCAGGCTTCACAACATAACAGTGATCACTGAGTAGACTTTCCGTAGTGGAAACAGTGAGTGACGGGTTGGACTGTGGGCACACAGGTCTGGCAGCACAAGAAAGTCATGCAGCTTGGGTCACACATGGGTTCAGGCTGTGGAAATGGGCTTGGCTGAGGGTTATTTTGTTTCCTGGTGCTGGAGAGGATGGGAATTTTATCTGCTGTATTGGGAAAGGGGGAGAGAGCAGAAGAAATAACAGAGTTCAAGCTGGGGTTTGTGCTAGGGGTTCATCCCATCACCGCTGTGATGATGTGGGTGGAGGGAGCTGCCTGGCTGGGAAGAGGAGCAGCTGGGATGGTGTGACAGGACTGTTGGATCCCCCTGGTAACCTGTTTTCCTCTGCAGCGGGAAGTGCCGCGTGCCAGCGTGGTGCGATCGGATCCTTTGGAGAGGAGGGAACATCCAGCAGCTGCGCTACTGCAGTCACATGGAGCTCAAGACCAGTGACCACAAACCCGTCAGCGCCCTGTTCCGCATCGGGGTGGGTCTGTGTGTGCCAGGGCAGCGTCCCAGCACGGCCAGGCCTTGCTGTGGGAGCGCTGCAGGCTCGGGACACCTCTGCTCAGGCTGCTGCAGGAGGGCAGCTGAGCCCAGCTGAGGCTTGCCTGCTGCACGTGCAGCACTGCAGTGGTGACCCCGCTGTGCCCTCCTGCCCACGGAGACACAGCAGGACCTGGACCTGGCTGGAGCTGGGCTGTGTCAGACGTGTCATCTGGTTCACACCTCAGTGTCTTCAGAGCACAGTGGCAGCAAATCCGGGTTTTCTGGTGCAGCAAATGGGGACACCCCATGCCCATTTTTGCTGCCTCCTGCTCCCTGGGTGGCTCAGGTCACAGGATGGGTCAGGTTGGAAGGACCACAGTGGCTCGTCTGGTCCCATCTCCCTGCTCCAGCAGGGCCATCCCAGAACACCTGGCACAGAACTGTGTCCAGGCAGAGATTTCACAGCCTCTCTGGGAAATCCATTTCAGTGCTCAGTCACCCACACAGTGAAGAAGTTCTTCCTCATGTTCAGGTGAAACTTCTTGGGATCAGTTCCTGCCCATGCCTCTGGTGCCATTACTGGGCCCCAGGGAGCAGAGCCTGGGCCCTGCTCTGAGCCCTCCCTGCAGACAGGCACAGACAGGGCTGAGAGCCCCTCTCAGCTGTCTCCTCTTGAGGGTGAACAGCCCCAGCTCCCTCAGCCTTTCCTGCTAAGGGAGATGCTCCAGGCCCTGCAGCATCTCTGTAGTTTCTGCTGGCCCCGCTCCAGGAGCTCCATGTCTCTCCTGTACTGGGGAGCCCAGAAGTGGACACAGCACTTGTGTGCTGAGCAGAACAGGCTGAATCCATCTAAAGAAAAGCCTTTCTCCTCTCCCTCTGCAGAAACGAGGAGTGCTGCAGCATGCCAGTGGTTGCCTCCAGTGGTCTCCCAGCTGTGTGACCAGTGGCCAGACAGACCCTGGTAACACCTGCAGGGGTGAAATCTGTAAAGCTGCAGACTGCACACGTGTGTGAGCTCTCCCAGCCTTGCAGCTACAGAAGCAAGTGCTTAGAGAAACAATTCACTTCTGCAGTTTGCTCATGATCAAGGGAGTTCCTGGAGAGCCAATCAGAAGCTTTGCTGAGTGTTTTTGTGTCCCACAGGTGAAGGTTGTGGATGAGCAGAAGTATCGGAAGCTGTTTGAAGATATTGTTCGTATAATGGACAGGATGGAGAACGACTTTCTTCCTTCACTGGAGCTGAGCAGGAGAGAGGTGAGGATGAAACTGGGATCACTGTCACTGCCCAGACACAGCAGCCATCAGAACTTCTTTCAAAAGACTTTGTTTCAATAAGCTGGATTATAGGAAATTGAATTCTATCCTTTATCTTACAATCAGGAATTGCAAGGACATGTTGTCTTGGCTCCTTGGCAGGACTTCTGTGAGGAGTTCTGCATTGGGTGGGCTCCTCTCAGCCATGGGGGGGCCACTGCAGGGTCTGTGGGGAGCTGGCCATGGGCCATATCCTGCCCACTAATCACTTGATTTCTCTTTGCTCTGCAGTTTGAGTTTGAGAAGGTGAAGTTCCGTCAGCTGCAGAAACAGAAGTTCCAGATTACCAATAATGGGCAGGTCACCTGTCACTTCTCCTTCATCCCAAAGCTCAATGACACCCACTACTGCAAGCCATGGCTTCGGGCCGAGCCTTGTGAAGGTTACCTGGAGCCAGGTGAGTGTACTGCTGTACACCCCCCATCCCATCTCCACTCGGTCCTTCCTGTCTTCCCTCTGTCCCACCTTCCTTGCCATCAGTCTTGTCTGTTTGTCTTTCCTGCCGTGTCCGCGTGTCCCGGTGATGGCTTTCGGAGTGTCGGTGTGCTCCTGAGAGCTCGGGTGTGTTGCAGATGAGAGCACAGAGATCTCCCTGGACGTGTATGTCAGCAAGGACTCGGTCACCCTCCTGAACTCTGGCGAGGATAAGATCGAGGATATCCTTGTCCTGCACCTGGACCGAGGGAAGGACTATTTCCTGACCATCAGTGGGACCTACCTGCCCAGCTGCTTTGGCACCTCGCTCGAGGCCTTGTGCCGGATGAAGCGACCCATCCGAGAGGTTCCAGTCACCAAGCTCATCGACCTGGTGAGTTCTGAGCAGCTCTCCTAACCCAGAGAGAGAGGCCTGCTTCCCTTCTGATTGCTCCCAAAAGCAGGAGCAGTGCCTGCAGCTTGGGTTGTCTGTGCTGGCTCTGAGCTGAGTCACTTCACAGAGCTTGAGGTGCTCTTTTATTCTCCCTGTCTACCACAGCTAATGGCTTTTGACAGCCTGTACTTTATCCCTTTTTTTCTGAGTAGGCTCTAAATATTGTTTGGTGGGACCAAAAAGTGATGCCAGCACCTTCTGCTGGTGTTACTGGTGCTGGCAGGCTCAGCTGGGTGGCACTGTGGTGTCATAAGAGGTGTGACTGGGGTCCTGTCACCCAGGGTATGTGGGCTTCTTCTGCCATGCTGAGTGCCCCGGGGGCCTTTTCCTTCTGGATGCATTCCCACTGCTCAGGGGCAGCAGCAGGCAGAAGCAGAGGACCAGAGGAAAGTCTGTGGTGTGGGTGTGGGGTGCTGAAGGACACAGCTCAGCAGATGAGCAATGTCACAGCCTCTCTGGCCATTTCCTCCCACACCAGCCACGGTGGGAGATAATGCCTCGAGTGAGAGATAGCTCATCAGGGAGAGATCTCTCTGTGGTGCAGCAAACTGTTCCTCCCCCCAGCCTTTGCCAGCCCCAGCATCAATATTCCTCCTCCCACAGCTCCTTGTGTGCGTGAGAGAGGGTGCAGTGGTGCCCTAGTCACCTCTTGTCCTTTGGGCACTCTCAGCTGTTTCTGGGCTTGTCCCATTTTGGGGATGTAATTCTGCTTTCCAGGCTGGCTTCATTCCTGTCTCCTTTCCTGGCTGTGTTCCAGTGAGGTGCAGCAGCTCCCGAGTGCCAGTTCATGTCCCCGTTCTTGTTCAGCCAGCAGACTCCTTTCTTTCTGCCCACCTGAAAGCTCAGTCCCATTGTTTGAGTCTCTCTGCCATGTGATACCTTTCCTTTCCTCTCCTCACAGTCTCACCCTTACATGAGGGGTTTTTATCTAGTGAGCTGCTGCTTCTCCACCTCTGTAGATTTGACAGCTTCCACTCCCATAGCTTCCACATTTCCTTACCCCTTCAGCAGCTCTCCATTTCCTCTCCCTGCCTCTTCCAGAGCTGGAAAAAGCAGGTGGAAAAGCAACCAGTGAAATGTTCCAGACCCACTTCTAGAACAAGACTGACTTTCAAACAAATCCTCAGAAACCTGAGGAGCCTGAAGCCTGGATCAGGCTGGACCTGGGGAGATGCTGTATCTTGCCACCTGGATCCTGCCTGGCCTGGAGCATTTGGGTGCAGTTCCCCGAGTTTTGGTGCTGCTCAGGCTGTGTGTTAAGAACTTTCTGGACTTGCATGGGCTCATCCTTTGCTGCATCCAGCGTTTTCCTCAGCCTGGCTAGACTTTGTGTGTGGTTCTCAGGGAGAGGAGTCTGGAGATGCAGTCCCTGGGGGCTGAGGTGGGTGGGTGGGGGTAGCACCGTGTAGGTGGGAGTTTGTCTGGGAGCGGCTCTCCTGCTTTTCCCAGGAGGGAGACACTGACACACGGCTGCTGGCACTTGAGCACCTCTCCTTTGGGATTTCAGTATTAGTGTCTCATCCTGTTTTTCCTTTGGATCCTACTCTGGGTTTTAAAAAGCCTCTTGAAGAACCTGTCAGGAACAGGTGAGTCTTGTGGAGCAGATCATGCTGAAGGCTCAACATTAGGGAGAAATTGTTCCCTGTAAGGGTGGAGAGGCCCTGGCACAGTTTGCCCAGAGCTGCCCCATCCCTGGAAGTGTCCAAGGCCAGGTTGGAAGGGGCTTGCAGCAGCCTGGGGTAGTAGAAGGTGTCCCTGCACATGGCAGGGGGTGGAATGAGATGAGCTTTAAGCTCATTCCCAGCCCAAAGCACTCTGATTTTCACTCTCTGAGCAGCCAGGCTCAGGCTGGGGGGTGAGGTGGGGATGACTCATCCGGTACAAAAGTGCAGGTGGCTGTCTGCCCTCCCAAACCTGTCACTGTGTCCCTCCCCCGTGCCTCAGGAGAGGAACCTGTGCCAGCTCCTGTTCCGAGCAAGCTGTTCCCGGGAAGAGGCCGGTCTGTTGGAGCTTCCAGAGGAAGCAAACACTGCAGAGGCCACAGGGGAGCCTGAGATGCTGCTCTCTCCTGGTGTCCCTGTGCCATGGGAGCTGCAGCTGCTCCCAGCTCAGCCTGGCACTGCGTGGGGCTGTTCCCACCCTGCAAGCTTGGTCTGCCAGGACTGGGCACGGACAGCCTGCTTCCGTTCCCTGCCGCAGACCCCAGCAGTGTCCAGGGATGGCTGCCCGGGGATGCTGAGGGCCTGGCTGTGCTGCCAGAGGGCTTGGCACGCTCCTCTGTGCTGTGCTAATGCTCTTAGGCTGCAGCAGCAGCCGGGTTTGAGCACAAACCTTCATTCCCCTGACCCTGCCGAAAGCTGCTTAGGGGCCCTGTGAGCTCCACAGCTGCCACACACTCAGAAACACAGATTTAGCCCAGGAAACGTTTTATCTCTGGTCTGGTCACAAGGGAAGATGGCTGAAATAACACAGGGACAGAGATTCTGACCAGGGAACGCCGTCCTGGCAGACACATCTCACCTGCCCATGGCCTGGCTGTTGGCCAGTGCTGTCCAAGCCCCTCGGAGGGGCTTCCAGAAATCCTGGGGCTGTGCATCATGTGAGCAGGATTGTTGCTAATTGGCAAGCAAATCTCTCCACAGGTTTAACTCTGGCCGTGTCAGCAAAATGTGTGAAGGACCTGGTGTTCAGTGGGTTCTTGTAATGCAAATTAGGCTTCTGCTTAATCACAAGAGATAATCCAAGAGTGCTTTCTCCCTCTTAACCACACTTTTTCCTCTCCTCTCTTTCCTGCTGCTCTCAGGAAGAAGACAGCTTCTTAGAAAAGGTAACACAAGCAATTGCTGTGTGGCAGTCTGCTTCTCAGCGGTGTGTTTGTCAAGAACGAGAGCTTTTCCCTTGTTTTGTGTGGCAGAGGGAAGGGGAGGGGAGCACAGAGGGGACACGGCTGCCAGCAAAGCTTCTTAGCACAGCTGTGGGCTGGATGAGAGCATGGAGAAGCACACAGTGACCCCGGAGCCAAGCCCAACTGAGATGTTAAAGCTCACCAAATTTGCTCCTGGAGAAAAAAATTGTTCTCCTGATCCTGACAGCAATGCTGGATATTCCCAAAAAAGTTTGGCAGCCTTTGACTTACCCGTGACCATAAGGAGGGGTTCACCACAGCATCCTCTCACACCTGTGGGAAGAGGGCTGGAGCAGCAAACTCGGGCTCCTTCCATCTGGTTGTGTCCCGCTGGAGGCCGAGGGAGGGCCTTGTGCAGGAGGTGGATGTTCCTGGGCCTCCTCAAGCGGTGGAGCTGGGGCTGCTGGCTCTGATGGCCACCGTGCCCAGGGGGATCCTGCTTCCCTTGGCACCGTGCCCCGTGCTGGAGCCAAGCAGGGAACGCGGCCTGGAGAGCAAGGGGGAGATGCTGGGGGTGTTGATGCTCTCAGGGGGAGATGCTGGGGGTGTTGATGCTCTCAGGGGGAGATGCTGGGGGTGTTCATGCTCTCCCTGCGCTGGCTCTGGCATCTGTAAATGGTTTGAGCTGGTTCTGCCCCGGCTTCCCAGTGTGAGCAGTTCCTCTCTGGGCTGTCAGTGCAGCTGCAGAGTACAACAGGAGAGGAAGGAACGTTCCCTCCCCCAGAGGGGATCGAGCTGGGCTGTTTAACCACATGAAGCTCACAGACTCCCTCCTGGCAGAGGAGAAGGCAGGAATTTTAGTCTTTCTTTGGTTCTTGCTTTGCTTCGCTTCTGGGAGCTCCTTCCCGTGCCAAGGACGTGGCGGTGTCGCCCTTCCTCGGAGGGGCCAGGAGAGGGCGCTCGGGGCCCGGCGCTCCCGCCTCCTGTCCCTGCTCCTGTCCCTGCTCCTGCTCCTGCTCCTGCTCCTGCTCCTGCTCCTGTCCCTGTCCCTGCTCCTGTCCCTGCTCCTGTCCCTATCCCTGCTCCTGTCCCTGTTCGTGCTCCTGTCCCTGCTCCTGTCCCTGTCCCTGCTCCTGTCCCTGTCCCTGCTCCTGTCCCTGTCCCTATCCCTGTTCGTGCTCCTGTCCCTGCCCCTGTTCCTGCTCCTGCTCCTGTCCCTGTCCCTGCTCCTATCCCTGCCCCTGCTCCTGTCCCTGCTCCTGTCCCTATCCCTGCTCTTGCCCCTGTTCCTGCTCCTGTCCCTGCCCCTGTTCCTGCTCCTGCTCCTGTCCCTATCCCTGCTCTTGCCCCTGTTCCTGCTCCTGTCCCTGCCCCTGTTCCTGCTCCTGCTCCTGTCCCTATCCCTGCTCTTGCCCCTGTTCCTGCTCCTGTCCCTGCCCCTGTTCCTGCTCCTGCTCCTGTCCCTATCCCTGCTCTTGCCCCTGTTCCTGCTCCTGTCCCTGCCCCTGTTCCTGCTCCTGCTCCTGTCCCTGCTCCTGTCCCTGCTCCTGTCCCTGCTCCTGTCCCTGTTCCTGTCCCTGTCCCTATCCCTGTTCCTGTCCCTATCCCTGTTCCTGCTCCTGTCCCTGCTCCTGTCCCTGTCCCTATCCCTGTTCGTGCTCCTGCTCCTGTCCCTGTTCCTGCTCCTGTCCCTGTCCCTGCTCCTATCCCTGCCCCTGTTCCTGTCCCTGCTCCTGTCCCTGTCCCTGTTCCTGTCCCTGTTCCTGCTCCTGCTCCTGTCCCTATCCCTGCTCTTGTCCCTGTTCCTGCTCCTGTCCCTGCCCCTGCCCCTATCCCTTCCCTGTCCCTGTCCCTGTTCCTGCTCCTGTCCCTATCCCTGCTCCTGCCCTTGCTCCTCCTCCTCCTCCTTCTCCTCTGTCCCAGGCACCTCCAGCCTTCTCCTCTTCCCTGAGGATCTGGCATCTCCAGCATGGGCATCTCCACAGCTCTCCCAGTCATGCCTAGGGCTGCTCCAGTGATGCCCTGGCACAGGGGGTTTCTGTAGAAGAGCCTCAGGAAGCCTGGGAAGTGTCCACAGCCCTGGGAGAGGGTCTGCAGCTCTCTTCCTTTCCCTCTCAGAGCAATTCTCTAATGCTCCCCGACCTGCCCAGTGCACGTGGCTGTGCAGCCAGGACTGCTCATCTCCTGGCAGGGTCAGACCTGGGGCTGACAGAGCTGTGCCGTGCAATGTGGCAAGTGGGGCTACTGCCCGTGCCACCAGGGCTCGTGCCAAGCCAGGGCGTGTCTGGGCACAGCAGGGAGGTCACCCCTGGCTGCTGTCAGTGGCTGTGTGTGCTGCAGGGACAGAGTGGCAGCTGTTGCCTCAGCTGGAGCAAGGTGCTTTCTGTGTGGCTTGGGGGCTCCTCTGCTGGTGGCGGGGTTGTGTCCCTGCTTGTGCTGGCTCCTGGGTGCTTTGGGAGTGCTGGGCATGGCTTCCTCCCTGGAGGAATGGGAGTGATCGTGAAGTGAGAGTAAAATCAAGCCAAGAGCCCGGATCCGGTTAAAGCTTGGTGTGATGGAGACGCCTGAGCCGTGGAGCTCCTCAGCTGCTCCACAGCAGGAGCTGTGACAGTGCTGGTGTGTACTCAGTGAGAGCCCTCCTGGGAAACCAGGGCAGGAACAGGAGGAATCAGGACGGTTGCAGAGCCCCGAGGGCAGCCGTGGCTGGAGCAGCCGCAGTCAGGGAAGGCGAGGGCTGGGTGGGCCGGGGCTCCGGAACTCGCTGGCTCCCAGCCCCTGCTGCCCGCGGGCTGCGAGCTGGGCCGGGGCTCCGTGGGCAGCCAGAGCCCCCTCCCGGGGGGCTGAGGGGGCTGGGGCTGCTGCAGAGAGCGGGCAGGTTGTTCCATGGGGCAGCAGGAGGGAGAGGAGCCAGGACCAGGAGCAGTGGCTGGTGCTGTGACAGTGGGTCAGGGCTCGAGCACCCCGGGGTCCTGCTGCCTCCCCTCTCCCAGCTTTCCCTACCTGGGACTTAGGGCCTGAGGTCTCCCTGAGCCCTTGTGTGCTTTCTCCCCAGGAGAAATCCATCCTGCAGATGGGCTCCCTGGACAGCGAGGAGGCAAGTGAGGTGCCACTGCAGGTGCCAAAGGAGATCTGGCTCTTGGTGGACCATCTATTCAAGCATGCCCTTCACCAGGTGAGAGGGAGGGTGAGGTAGAGGGCCTCTGCCACGATGGAGCTCTCCTGGTGACCTGGTTCCTCACAAGCACCTGGAGATCAGCTCCAGTTTGTTTTCAGGGCAAGGCTTTTCCCTGTGCTTGAGGCACTGGCTGGGTGTCCTGGGCTTCCCCACTCACTGGGAGTCACCATCTGCCTCAGCCTTTGTGGAGAAGGTGACTTACTCCATCCCTGTGCTGTTTTTGACAGGAGGACCTGTTCCAGACTCCAGGCATGCAGGAAGAGTTGGAGCAGATCATTGACTGCCTGGACACCAGCATTCCTGAGACAATCCGTATCCTTCCGTGATGGATCTCAGCTCTGCTGGGAGAGTTCGCTCTCGGGAGAGCTTGTCTGTCACCGTTACCTGGCAGGGGGAGGTTCCCCTTGGGCCCTCCACAACCTCTCTGAAAGTCAGATTTGTGCTGGCCAAAGCAGCTGGGGGCTCTGGAAGCTTCTGCAGGGCTGTGCCAAGCACAGGAGCTGGGATACTGAGGAAATGGTGTGGAGGAGAGGTTAATGGAGTGGGGGACTCCTGTGCAGCCAGAGGGTGGGAAAATGCAGAGCAGGGTGGATGGAGCAGTGTTTTCCATGGGTGGGGGACAGTGGAGGAGGAGGAGGAGGAGGAGAGGTTAGACAGGCAGGGAACTTGAGTGAGCTCCAGCAAGATGACATCTGGGGAGGGAGGGGATCTCTGTTCAGCATGACCCTTGATTCCCAGTGCTCCAGCGGGCAGTAATCACTCTGTGGCTGAAGCTCTCCTCATCTTCCTGGAGGCTCTGCCAGAGCCTGTGATCTGCTATGAGCTGTACCAGCGGTGCTTGGAGGGGTCCCACAGCAGCCGGCTGTGCCGACAGGTGCGGGGCTGTGCTGGCCTGTGCGGCTGTGCTGGCTCAGGGCTGCTCCTGCTGCCCTGGGCTGGGCCTGCCTGGGCCCTGCTCCCTGCCCAGGGGCTGGCAGTGCCTCTGGCAGAGCGGGCAGCTCTTCCAGAGAGACCCCAAGTGAGCCCTGTCTCGCCCTGAGCACATGGGGAGCAGGGAGGGGCCGAGCCAACCCAGGTTCTGAGGGCTTGAGCACCTGCTCACAGTGCAGAACAATTCCTGTCCTTCCATGGAGGGCTGAGCGTGGCTCTTAACATCTGGTGGGGCAGCAAGCCAGGCCTAGCATGTCCCTGAGCAGAGGGGGAAGTTTTGTGGCAGTGGGAGCCGGGATGTGACTGGAAACAAGCAGGAAGCAGCCCCAAGGCAGTGGGGGCTTTTTCCAGCTTTCTTTGAAGCAGTGTCACCAGGAGCCACAGCCCACAGGTGCCGTCAGCACTGGGCTGCAGCTGTGGGTGCGTTGCTGTGGCTCCTGGAGTGCCACACGTGCCCAGGCTGCAGCAGCGGGAGCTGGGAGAGCTTCCTGACACCATTTCCCTGCAGGTGATCCTTCAGCTGCCGAGCTGCCACCGCAACGTGTTCCGGTACCTGATGTCCTTCCTGCGGGAGCTGCTCAGGTACTCGGAGGACAACAACGTCAGTGCCACCATGATCGGTGAGTGTCGTTCCTCTGCAGCCCTCGCTCCGTCCCAGCCTCTTCCTGCACCTCCCAAGGTCTAAAGGACTGATTTTACCTGCCTCCACAGCCGCCCTGTTCTCCAGCCTCCTCCTGCGCCCTCCGCCCAACCTGATGGCCAAGCAGAGCCAGCAGGACCGCCAGCGTGCCATCAACTTCCTCACCAGCTTCCTGCTCGCCGGGGACGAAGAGTGACTCGCGCCGTGTGCCAAAGCCGGGCCCGCGCTGCAGCCGGGCCTCTCTCAGCTCCGAGGGGTAAAGGCTCGAAGCTCTGCAAGTGCCGTGTTTACAGTGGGAAGGGACGCTCCCCTCCTCGCCTCTCCACACCCCACGCTGCAGAGGCACCGCTCGCTGCGCCGCCACCCACCTCCGGAGCCTCGGCCACCCACCTCC